GGCCACGACACGCGCTTGCCCGCGTGGGCCTTTGGCCAGCTCCAGGTGCTCTGCGTCAACGGGCCCACGCTCGCCAACACGCTCTGGTACATCGAGGCCAACCGCCACCCGGCCATCGACGCCGACGCGCTGCGCTACCCGCGCGTGCACTTGCCGGGGCTCCTGCTCTGGGCGAAGATGGCCCACTACCACCGCTCCATGTGGCGCGTCAACAAGGGCCTGGCCGCGCCGCACGCGTACGCGTCGTTGCCGCTCGCGTGGCCGCTCGCGGCGCGCGGCATCAACTACTTCAGCAACGGCCACGGCCTCGCGCGCTTGGCCGGCGAGCTGGGCTCCCACGTGTACTTGGTGGGCAACGTGGCCGTGTACTGGGGCGGGCTCGCGGTGGTGGTACTTGTGGCCGTGCGCCTGGTGCTCGTGGGCTTGCGGCGGTTGAACCCGTTCGTGCGCCCGGCGCCCGTGCCTGCCGCCGCCGCCGCGTGCCGCGAGGCCCAGTGGCAGTACGCGTCGGGCTGGGCGCTCCACTACGTGCCCTACATGTTCATGGAGCGCCAGCTCTACGCGCACCACTACTTGCCCTGCGTGTTGTTCCTTGTCTTGGGCACGGCGCAGTACGTCGAGGCCCAGGCGGGCGCCCGCTCGCGGCTCGCGGCGGCGGCCTGGGTGCGCGGCTACGACGCCTACTTGTGCGCCGTGGTGTATGTGTTTGTGCGCCTCCGGCCCTTGGTGCACGGCTCGGCCTGGACCGTGGCCCAGTGCCAGGCGGCCAAGTGGCTTCCGGGCTGGGACTTCGACTGCATGGCCTACAGCCACTGAGGGGCTTGGGGCTGGATGGATGGCCACTGCGCACTGCGGGGCGGATCCGATCCCGGCGGCTTCTGTTTGGCCGCTGCTTCTCAGCCTGTGTTCATGTTGAAGTTCTTTCCAAGTCAGCCTGTGTTCATATTGAAGTTCTTTCCAAGTCAGCCTACATATTGAAGTTCTTTCCAAGTCAGCCTACAAATTGAAGTTCTTTCCAAGTCAGCCTACATATTGAAGTTCTTTCCAAGTCAGCCTGTTTACATATTGAAGTTCTTTCCAAGTCAGCCTGTTTACATATTGAAGTTCTCTCCAGATCAGCCTGTTTACATCTTGAAGTATGTTGTTATATCCATACTATATCATACTGTGTTCATATTGAGGCTATTCCATGCCTGTTTACATATTAAAGTATATTGTCACATCCATACTATATCATACTGTGTTCGTATTGAAGTCTATTGTCATATCCATATCATATCATACCCCTTTTTATTGTATTCTATACCCAGATCATTCCTGGTAACGTATTGACGTCTATTTCTAGATCATACTCGTGGTTCATACCCATATCCCTACTCATTTTCATATTGAAATCCATACATATATTGTACTCGTATTTATACTACTAGCCAAATCCATATCATGTCCGTTATCATATCAAAATCTATACCCGTATCCTGTTATCAAATTGAAGTATATACCCATATCCATACCCGTAGTCCACATCCATAGTTCACTCTCATATCCCTACTTATTTTCATATTGAAATCCAGACATAAGTCGTACTATCCTTGCTAATAGTCCAAGCCTTATCACCTATTTTCACATTTATTCCACAATATATACATACGTTTTCATATCGAAGTCCACTCCTATAGCAATGCGCATTCACATACTGATGACAAAACCCGTATCATACTCGTTTTCATATTGAAGTTCATACCCAGATCCATACCCGTAGTCTATACTCATATCCATACCCATAGTCCATATCCATACCCGCGGTCCATACCCATATCCAAATTCTTCTCCACTTTCATGTTCTGCTCTCTTCAACGTGATTCCCGTGTAGCCCAATCGTCAGTGCTTCCGAAATAAAAAAAAACCGCAGGTTCGAAAGCTCATAAAGTTCCACAAAAATCACACAGCTCAAATTTTGGTGACGTAACCAAGCATTTTTCATCATGGTCATGCGCAAGCTGCACCTCTGGGCTGTGAAATTTGTAGTCAGGCATAGTCTGCAGCTCCCACTTGAATTCCGGGTCTCACAAATGACTGATCAAATGACACGTCCGGAAATCGGGCTTGTCGGGTCATACATCCAGGTATATTTCTGTCAATGTTTGGAGAGCCTTGTTGGGCTGCTCCAGCTCCTATCGCTGTCCGCAATCATTAGTATCTTCAATAGATGGATCTATCGAGTGCGTTGAATGCAGTCGATGGCTTTTGGCCGTAGTAGCTCTGGTATATAAAATCCTGGTGAATTGATTGTGCTCTATTCTAGATAAATGAATATCTAAACAGTCGAGGGCCTTGGATTGCGCTACTGTGGTGAGACACGAATGATGTCAAGCCATATTCAAGAAATGTTGCAACCAAAAAGCTTGGGCAGTTAAATTTAATGCTGCCCTACCAAATTACTTATATTGGAGCTATTTTTCGTGTCTTTTGTATTCATACATGGCTGGTGGAGAACCCTCACCATAGATCTTCACTAACCCATGTTTCGTTGCAACACTTGATCGTCGCTAAATCATGCAGGTCCATTTAGCGGCATATTTATCAAAGCGTCAACACACGCATACAATTCTTGATTGGAGAACCTTCAAAAATATGACCCTGGCTTATAGAGAACGCAACTCTCGACTCATTAAGTTCTGATGCCAACTCCAATATTTGCACCAAAGAGAGCTTGTAATAAGTCTTTCTGATGTCTGCCGTGCCTTGAAAATTCGAAAGCATCTGCACAAGCAGTGAGACAACCGAAAGCCTCATTTTTATTGCGCAAAGTACGTGATTTCCAATGACCTTGCTAAGTGATTGTGCTTTTACAATAAATGACTTGTAATAGGTTTGGCGTACCTTAAAAACTCTTTTGCCGGATGCCCTACCGCCCCTAGTGGCAACGTTATATTAGACATCTATATCGACATCCTGAACAAGATTCCGTCAGATATCAAAATATCAAGTTTGCAAAATTAGTGGGGAAAGTCAAGCAAAACCAGTAAAATGATGCAGATTTTGTGGCTGTCCCAGGCGGCTCCATAGTGGGCGGGTGTTTTGATCTGGAGATGGACTCGAGTCTCGCATGAATTTACAGCATCCTGGGTTTGTCAATCAATGCTAGCAAACTTTGCCTCTAGGCAAGCTTCCACGATAAAATGATGGCTCGTTTATTTGCTAAAGCAAAGCAAGTGGATACATGAGCCGGGTAAAAATCTAAGTTTTTATAGTGCTGGTAAACGTTCATGACAACTTCATAACTTTACTTCTTGAGACAACAATTTTGCCTCGTAGTTTATTACTTCAAAAATTATCTAATAAAAAGAACGTCCAATTCTAGAAATCTGATTCACCAAGATCAAAAAAAGTACAGAATAGATACAGGAAAAAAGTTGCCTCACTCTAAAACCATCAGAGATTAAAAGTGGTCATGAAAAATTTGTAGAATTCAAATTGCAACATAATTAAGAAGGCTCTGTTCTCTGTCTTAATTATTTCCCCCGCCTGTGAACTTTCGCTGAGAGCTTTTTCAAATGCTTATTTGAATTTTTTCGCTGATTAGTCAGTTTGGTCATTTCATTCAAGCACTTTGCGAGTTCCAACCGTAAGTTGTCAATGCCGTTGATTTTTCAAACATCGCCTTGACTTTCTGGAAATATATCTGCTTTGTAAGAAAAGAACTTCAATAAACTTTCTTTAAAATCTTGCTCAAGGCGATAAATGGTGTTATTATTGAAACGACCGAACATTTTTCAGCATTTGATTTGAAATACAATACAGTTCCCATACCGTATGCATCAACCATATGGTTTCTTAGGGTACAAGGGCTAGAATTACGTTCTGAAAAGACTTCTTATTGTCCTCGCGTAGAGATCAAATCGTTCAGCATTAATAATTATTCACTCTATCAAGGATTGCGAAGGATTAGTCTCAGAGGGAAATTGTAGTCTCTTTTCCCCTCTCTATGGAGTATATTCGAAGAATAATTGTTTTTGAGGAAACATCTGTGGTGGTTTTTCTATCTTGTTTTTCTCATTTCATGAAAACAAACTGACTCAAGCTTGTCTTTCACACGCGTTATCTCTCCGAAAGCCATGCTTGCTTGTTTCTGGACCAGCGACTAGGCTTCTTGAGTAAGAGTTAAACAAATGACCAGCCCTGCTTATATTTTGGTAAGGTTTGTCCACTGAGATCTGCTGAAGCAAGCGCATGGACTGGCACATTCAGACTTCTACAGGTAATGTTTTTTGTTTTTTATTTGATAGATCATCGCCTCAGTACAATATTCTCAAATGATTTTTTTTTTCCTTTTTTGCTTCGGGCATATACGCTTGACTCAAACTAAGCAAAGATCTCGTTTTTACTTCTTTGTAATATCTTATGACGTCAGTGTCAAAAACGGTTTATTTGAAATTTTCCATCGCCGTGAAAATACCCACAACCTTTTCTGCCTATCTTCAAAGGTCTTGGAACTTTATTTCAGACATACTATCAGCCATAGAGAATATAAGTACATTGACAAGATCACCATTCGGTTCGGAGCCTATTTGCTCGTTTTTTGTGATGAATTGCAGCTGAAATACAGTATGAATATTGAAGTAATCAGCATGTTTGAACTCAAATTTGGCTCTAACAATTATTGAACGTATACAAAACATAGGCCTTCATTCCCACAAAGATGCCAATCTGTAATAAATTCCATTCTGAACCGAAAGCATCGTCATCATTGACTTAGAAACCTTGTTTACTACAATAATCTATCCTTCGTCTGTTAATTCTCTGATAAGTGACTATATTCACACAGACTTCAATTTCGCAATTTCCCATTTCGAGGTCTTAGCTGCCCAGTTCATCCTCCTTTCTTTTTACATGACGAAATGTTTCAGGAACGCAAGCAGAGGATGGTCAAGTTTCTTTTCGAATGTATAAAATAAAAAGATTCATATACTGACCTAGCTCTAGAGAATAAAAGACTATGAGAGGTGCATGTTTTGTGGTTCTCACTCGTTCACGATAATAGTGATTTCATGCAAATCGGCTTGGGTAAGTTAGTCTTCGCCTTACCTCAGATAGAACCACTCATTTTCGGGCTATTTATTGCAAGGCACAACGACTCCGTACTTCCTCTCACAAAAGTTCCGTCTCCATTGTCAATTCAGGTGTGAAGAATACGGGGAGCGAGATGTGAAATAAATACAATTGCTCATCCCAAAGACAAAGACAAGATGAAGCACAAGAGACAATTACGAGCCTGTAGCACTCTACCTTTCTGACACCACCTGGAAATGAGACTCACTATAAAACTCTTTCAAGCATTTATGTAGGAATTTAAAACTTTGGCATCATCAGCAGATGCAGCTTACTGGATGTGAATATCATGTCAATTGAATGATAAGGACTTTACGGGGTCTCTTCTTGTCCATTTTTGTTCTGATGTGCTGGTGTACATCCGCCATTCTCTGATGTCTGTTTAAGTCAAGTATAACGGTGGAGGCTTGTTCACTCTTCAAAAGGAGTGACAAATCACAGAGCATTGTCACCCCGCCACACCTGCTGCATTAGCGTTGGTAAGATGCAATCTCGATTTTGAGATTTGTTTTTACCGTGTATTAAGAGGAAGCAATTCAAGACATACAAGCGATAGAGCATGCTATTAACGTGACTTTTTTGCGTTGAACTTCCGGGAATCTGCTTGCACAAGACCTCAGCATAAAAAATACTTTTTCAACCATTAATCAACAGAAACAATTGTCTGATTACACCATGTCCCTATGTACTTCAATACACTTAGAACACCTTTTTCTGGGATTTCACAAGCTGGGTCACGGAATCCACCACACAGTTCTCCAAGTCGATGGCGGGATAGTTCAACAATTCCTTGGTCCGCGAGTTGTCCGTCTTGGACCCAGTGTTTTCAGGCTCTCCCTTCTCAGGCGTGCCAGTGGGCAATTGGCCTCTCAAGTTCACAAATTTGGCGTTGATAATATCAAGCACGCGTTGTGCGGTGAATCCCCCGGTTCTGAGCAAAAGACGCTGGTTTGAGAGCCCGCCCTCAAACGCTGCCAAGTGGGCCTTGGCCACATCTCTAACATCCACAAAGGCACCCTGTTGTGCAGGCACCTCATCATTTGGCCCCAACTTCAACAATTTGTTGATGATTTCGGCCGAGTAGTTGAGTTCGCCCTTGACTTCGGAGTCAAACGCTTGGGGTCCAAACACATAGACAGGCAACACGGTGTTCAAGGTGAAGTTGGGCTTCTCAGATTCCAAGAAATCCCACGCAGCCTTCTCCGCAAACTTCTTGGAGCCAAAGTACCCGTTCATTGCATTCTCCTTAGCCTGCTCCCACGTGATCGGGTTCCACGAGTCCTCGTTGACTGTGAAAGTAGGGTCCTGGTTTCTAGCAGGATTGAGCAGCGCAGCCACAGAGGATGTGACCACAACATGCTTGATTTGCGAGCCGTGGGCCTTGATGGCACTGAACACATTTTTGGTGCCTTCGACGGCGGGAAGAAGCAACTCTTTTTCAACGTCCTGGACATTGAAGCTGACAGGCGAGGCGGTGTGCAAAAACACCGACACCTCAGGGTGCTTCTCCAATGCCTGGTCAAAGGCCCCGGGCGCCTCCAATTTGGGCACCACTTCGTAAGTGAAGGAGCCAGTGTCAAATAGCTTGACGAGGTTCTTGCCTTTTTCGGCGGTTCTCACGGACCCGACAACATTGTAGCCCTTAGTAACAAGAAGCTTGATGACGTGCTGCGCAATGTAGCCGGTGGCGCCAGAAACAAAAACTGAGGTGGTCATGGTGGTGTGGTGGTGCTAGTCAGTAATAGAAGCAATAACAAAAAGCCGATGAGTATCTGCAATTAACATAGAGGGAGAGTGCAAAAGGGTTGCCCTTTATATGGGTGCAATCGATAGAACTTCCAGAATGTCTATGTACAGCCCCACGCAAAAGTTACTCTTGCTCTGCTGAGTAAGCTTACAAAACGCGATCCGATTTCTTCCAAAGCAATCCCGTGACTGTACCTATGTTTGCGGGAATATACCTGGACAAAACTGGCGTTTTGAGCCCGAGGTATTAGTTGCGCGTTGCGTCGATTTTTGTTGCCGCAAAAAATGAAAGTTTGCGGTACTGTCTCCATTTGAGAGGAGCATGAAGATGAATGGCACTTCAAGTAAATCTCATCTGAAGAGTGGACGGTGGATCTGACTTTTTTTTTGCATGAGGAATTGCATATCTCAATGAGCATGGGGGCTTCTCAGATAAATATCCACAGTCAAATATTGGAAAATCCTTGACAGCTGTACGCAAGAAAGTCCGATCCACCGCTTGAGAAGCCCACTTCTGACTGACTTCCTTTTTGATTTCCACACTATTTTAGATCTAGACTCAATACTCTTAATTCTTGACGGTTGGGTGATTGCTTCGCTTGAGCACCCAATAGCCCATAAAGGTCTATTCCCTTTTGAATTATAGAAGCGAAGAGTAGTATGCAATGAAGACAAAATCCATGTGCATAGTCTCAAGAATCACTGAAACACATTCATCTCTTTGTCGAAAACAATTCGAAATAGAAGCCAACTATTCGATTTGGTGTACGATCAAATATTTGTACATTCGTGTGTATGAACCTGGTGGAAGGTTTCCGGGAATCTTTCTAGCCCCTAGATGCTACATGAATAAATTTCAGTGCTTGTTTTAGTCTGTTCAATGATTGACGGAATTTTCGCTGGATCCGGGGATTCATGCTCTGTTTGGGATTCAGTGCTCCGAACATGACTGCAAACGCATGACTGGAAGACAACTTGACCCATTCTACATATACACACTGAACTAGGGTTTCAGATTCTTGATCTTCATGAAATGATTTACCATCACAACTATCTCAGGTGTATCAAGGGAAAAACTTGTCGAAAATTTGATAACAAATATTTGCGTTCTGGCACTGTTATATACATAGTATCATCTGGGAATTCGGAAAATCAGAAGAGAAAAGTTAGGTACATAAATATAAGATGGCCTGTGTTATAGGCTTGATCAGTCATTCAAGAGATCTACTTCTCACGTAAATACACTTTGGCTCTTGAAGATCGTAGTGAAAACGATGAGCAATGTGCAGAAAATCAGATTACTTGATTCCGAGCAAAAACAACCACTAGGAGACATTCGCTGCCCATAATAAACTATTCGAGGCTCTTATTTTGGCTAATCCTTTGAGCTAGGAAAAACTTGTCGAGAATTAGTTCAATGATCTGAAGGCACGCAATTCCTAATTCATCTGAAATGCATAGTATCTGTTTTCCGCCTATTCCACACATACTCACAAGTCGAGGTGCATGAAAATCAGTAATACATCATCACTTTCATCTAAGATGTGCCGGCAACCATTTGCTTAGATATACAACAGCTCCAGCTATCGAATTCATGATTTTGCCGAAATTTGTTTTGTATATACGTTTAGTGAAGACTTGGTTGAAAACAATTCGGAGATAGGCACCCATTAGGCTCAAGCAGAAATTATTCAATTTGTAGCACAGATAAATTGCAGGACAACTTTTACGACCATAATCGATTTTTATTTATTTTTCTTCTTATTTGTGTTTTTAGTCGGCCATTGAGAAATTGCGAATGTTGCAAACCAGATTATTCAATACTCATATCCTTTGCTCACGAACTTATATTACACATTTTTCACAGCAAATGGTTACAGCTACCAAGACTTAAACACGTCTTTAAAAATTGATGAAACACTGAAGAAATGAGATCTTTTAAGCTTTCATTGTAATTGTTATTTACATTGATTGTGATCGTTCGCGTTTTGCTGCAGACTGAAAAAAATGAAAAACGCCGAATCCTTTTGTAGCATGTAATAAAAAACACGAACGCCAATTTTTGATACTCTTAGTGTGACCACGACTTACAATCACTACCACTAACACTACCCTTTTGTAGATAAATACTCTGAATTTATAAGTCAATGGGATCAAGATCTTTAAGGTCTCTGTCGGATGTGACAATCTCATATCAGTCAAGAGCCTTGCAGAGAAAACACAAGCATTATATTCAGGCATACATCAAATTACCAAATGTTGTTCTTATACCTTACCCCAGATTTCGTACATGGTATCTTTAAAACTTTTCCAAATCAGCACAAACCTTAAATTCAGAAGTCTTGATAACTCAATCTCTTGCATAATAATTCAATGCTTCACAAATGGATTTTGACTCGCAAATAACGAGATCTTCTGATCTGTAAGAATACTGCACAAGCTAAATCCTCTATAACCATAGATTATCTGATACATTGTGAGCCATTAAGCCAAAGAGACGTCAAGTCTTTTGACATATATGATTGCTTGTCGGGTTACTTTGCATTCAAATTTTTTGAGAAACTTTTTGGATACACGCCGCGACAAGACTAGAATTGGATATTCTTCATGGCCTGGCACATTTCTTCTTACTTGACATGTCATACAGAAAAACACGACAAGTATAAATAGCAAACCAATCCTTTCTCTCATTTTTATTAACACCCACTTACTTATCTCAGTCATAATGTCCAAGTCCAAGGTGTATGATGACGAGCTGAAAATCGGCTTGCCGATACAAAACAACGCAAAAAGACGTCATTCAAGGAGAAAAAGACTTCTTTTATACCTTTGTGTCAGTACCGCCTTAGCCATTATTCTCACTCTGGTCTCTATTATTACAACAGAGTTTATATTTCTCTTCTTGGCAATCCACGGTGACTTATGAGTTTAAGGCCTCATATACTGAAGAACCTCAAAATGTTTATAGTTTATATCAATACACAAATTAACTTCCGACTTTGACAGATTTTCTTCTATAGATTTGATTTCACCAATTTGACTATTTTGATGAGCTTCTCACCGATTTCTTTCTAGTTTTTCTTCCTTAGGAGGTGCGGTAGAGTAGATCATGTATTTTCAGCACAGAAAAAGGCATTACTATAGCAAGATTTAACATCTTGAAAATAGTTCTAAATTGCCAGAAGGAAGAGGCTTACCTGTTTTGTTTTGTTTTAAAAAAAAGAGTTCTTAATTTTCAGCCGACAAAAATTTGTTTCTCAATAATTTTGGTATGCTCCAGACCATAAAAATTTAGTGAGGATATAAAACTGTGGTGTAAAGAAAGAAAAGAAAATCGATATATCTACTATCTTTTTCGACAACACTGTTTTAACCCGACCAAATCAAAATGACTAGAAACAAAGTTACTGATCTTGAGCTGGGCGATGACTCCACGAAGTGTGAACAATCTTTCTTACCACCCAGCTCAAGCAATCCTAAACTTATTGCGTTTGATTTTCTCCTCCATGCAATCAAGGTGGTTTTTATCAGCATACTTCTGTGCTTTTTAGCATTCCTTCTTTTTTCAATTGCGCTACTCACTGCTGGATTGGCGTTTGATTTTGTCACAAGGTATGTTTCAAAAAATCGGTGATGGGCATTTGAGAGGGTAAGCCAAGAAAGAGAGACCTCGGACTTTCACCTGGGAACTACTAGACGGAACATTGATCATGGGTGTTCATCCGACACAACATGTTTTCTCTTGCCAAAAACAAGGTCTTGTGTGACGCTGCTGCACTGGACGTGTATCCAGAATATAGACATTTACATAGGTAACAGGCTGTGATAACAAATAAACATGGACATATATTTGCCGTTGTTTCTTTGCAAGAGGGAATGGTTGCAGCTCCTTCTGGTCCTCATATAGAGCCATAGCCAGCAATAGAGCAGCCAAGCTTGAACTTCTAGAACCCTGGTCAATGACGAGCATTACTATTCATGTATCGCGTTGATCAAGGGGTCTAGATTCCAAGACGGTTTAGGACAGAAAGTTCAGTATCCATAGGCCCATACACCTGAGCTAGTCGTATTCAATAAACGATATTAGCTAGAGCAGTTGTAGAAAGTGCCTCCATGGGCAACAAAGATTGAGCTTGGATAGGCCTTAAGAGTAATTAATGCAGCAGTTCCCAGTAAACTTCTGCGCGAGACAGGACTTCAAGTACCTCACAGGTGTGATTACAGGTCTCTATCATTATACAAGACTTTGTCAATCGCCATTTTCTACCCTTGTGGACTTGTCAGATGAGTCTCGTAGTGTCAAAACGCCTGCGAATTGCCGTACATTGTTCCCACAAATATACGAACCTTCTGCATCAACTATCGAAATGTCTGCATATCAATCCTTGTCAAATCTTCGGGAGTCAGGATGCAAAATAAGCCCAAGTATCTTGAGTGCTTGAAATTCTTGAGCATTTTAATGGCCATCGTGGAATTGCTCTCGTCCCGTTCATTTAACCAATGCGAAACATGCGTGTGAGTACGCAAAACACTCATTGGCGCCAAAACCTCTCAAGGCCGTCTTGAACAGTTCACGTCCGTGTCTCATAAATGCCCGCAGATACATCCATGATGAGCTCCTCGCACCACCTCAAAAGACGGTCCTTTTCCTCTATTTTTCGGACCCTCTCCTGCTCGGTCTCTTTTAATTCGTCCATGAGTTCACTTATCATATTCATCTGAGTTTCGGGCAAGGTGCCAATCCCAGGGAGCGAGTCGATTATCATGCTGATTTGCCGCGACTTCAAAATTAGATCCGTCGAGAGCTCATTTATGACGTCGTCAAACGCCGGCTTTGGCGGCGTTTTACTTGCCTCGCCGTCCTCTGCTGCCTGCACATTGACATTTCCGTTTCCAGGGCTTGCTTTTGAATCGCCGTCTCTTCCCTCTCCGTCTTTTCTACCTGGAAGAGGGGCGCTTGCTGCCAAGTTGATTACAGAGTTGGGGTTGGAATCTAGGAGTGCGAGATCGCTCTGTGTGTTTGCGTAATTGATGGTGGAGTTGAACTGCGCAACAAGCTGGTCCAAGCATACCTGGAGCTGCGTAAGTCTGTCGGTCATTTTTCGAAGATACGAGATTTGTAAAAGAAGGTAACTTACAGAGGATCGATGGAATGTCGTGGGTCTAGGGCCAACGGAAGAATAGCAACAGTAGGAGTATAAAGAAATCGAGAATCTCTGCCTTTCTGAAATTCAATGTCCGCTGGATTTGCCTAGCGACCAAGGAGGATTCAGCAGATAGAGGTGGATTGCAGATTCGTTGAGCCGGACTCGTGAGGCTGGTGATGCCATGGCGGGTCACGTGCCGAGATCCGGGGGCGCGGGCCTGGTCCGATCTGCGCCCCCGGAAGTCTGCTAATAGACAAGTGCTCCACGAGGCTCCAAAATTCTCAGACCCAGACAAAAGATAGTGCTAAATTGGGAATTTCGGGCCTTTGAATACGTAAAGTAGAGGTTCCGTTTCAGATACCTGAGGACTGTGGATGTGTACGTCGCTTGGAACAACATGGCCAGGCAAAGCATGATTTTGTGCAAATTGTGCCGAACCTTTCCCCTTGGAGACCCCATAGGTACCATTGAATTGAGCTTTTGTTTTTGTTTTCTGAGTTTGTTGAGTTTGACGCAAGATACATCTAAAGCTCGAATATTTGCTGGTACCCAAGTAACAGACATTGCGACTCCCTAGGCCGTAACAGAAAAAAGCACAAGAGGGCCCATGTTTCCAAACGGTGCCCACCAAGCCTGCTGGTCTGGAATTCTATACAATCAGTATATATGGCAAAATACGAAACACACCAGCGCATGACTGGCGACTGCGGCTCCATGGCGCACTTGGCAATACAGGATATGATCAAACTCCACTGAAACATCATATGGCTATACAATCATGGCCACGTGACCACGGTCACGTGCCGCGGCCCCGGATTCGCATCCGCTTATCTAACTTGGCAAATACAATACCCCATTTCTGATCCACGCCATAAAACACCCAGCAGCGCCCCACTTTTCTCCGGATAGCCAAAACACATTGATTTGCGGCACCTGAAAATCCCAGGGCACGTGACTTTTCCGACCGCAGCCGCCCGAAATGTCGCTGCTGATGCCCGTATGGAAGGCTGATGCCACGGCGTCTAAATGTTATCTTTGCAAAGCAAGATTCACGCTTTTCAACCGCCGCCACCACTGCCGCAAATGTGGCCAGCTAGTGTGTGCCACGTGCTCTTCAAAACAGGTGCGCTATTTCGCCAACTCGTATGTTTTGAACTCGCAAAACACCCCGGAGAAGGCCCGAAGCCATGTATACTATCGCACGTGTGACGTTTGTGTGGACGAAATCCACATGATGCGCAGCGCCCTTTCGCCTGTTCCGGCCACAGAAACAGCCTCCGTGCTGCAGGGCCACAGAGACGAGCCCCCGGCGGCTGTAGGCCCGTCGGCGGATGTGCACATGATCCCAGGGGCCACAAGTGCGGCCAATCCGCTCAAAACAGCGCCAAATCGGGCGCAACACGCATCCTCGGACCCGCCGGAATTTACTGGTTCTAATGAGCCCCATGACGCCGATAGCGACGCGGACTTGTGCCCTGTTTGCGGCGTGGATCTAGGGAAGCAGTTCTTGGAAGAGTCTCTGGGCGGACCCTTGGCGTCTTCAGCCGCATACGAAACATACAAGGAGGCACACGTGAGCCGGTGCTTGGTCACGTACGATTTTGCCAGCAACCACTTGCGTTTGTCGTCGCCGCCGGACGGTCTGCATGCACGCAACCGGATGCTCGTATACAACATGCCTCCGATCCCGGAACCGAGCTACGAAACCATATCGGACGGCTCTCCCAATGCGGGGGCCGTGGCTGCAAAAACAGACGGCGAGATTCCCGGGCTGGTGCGGTCCACGGCGACGTTTTCAGGCACGGAAAAGGACGACATGGATGCGGAATGTGTGATATGCCTCGAGGACTTGTGCCCGGGAGACAAGGTGGGGCGGCTCGAGTGCCTTTGTGTTTTCCACTACAAGTGCATCAAGGACTGGTTCAACAAGAAGAGCTACGCCGAGTGCCCCGTGCACTATCTCCACAGCTGAGGCGTTTTGCCGCGGCGCCAGGTACTTTTCATGGCGCCCTTTGTTCTTTGGCACTGGAGCTTTACACCGGTGTCTTTCTTTGTGGGTTTTTGTTTTCTACATCAAGAGCTGTTATGTTGCAGTCATGGTGCTTGCGTCCTCGTCGACTCGTTTCTCGTGGTCCTCAATGGGCAGGCCACTACACCGAGCGATCTTCTTCAGGTGAGGCGAGTCGTGTTATCTCGGCCCGTCCGGTGACACTGGGTCCGCAAGAAGATCCGCACGGTTCTTTATACTCGTTTATTACTAATGCACAATATAGGGAGCCGGGCCGGCAAGAACGCAGTGGCCCCGGACGCCGTCAGAGGACCATTCCCGCCGGCCAGACGCAGAAAGACCGCAGATACCGGATCTCCAAAATCCGCCTACTTTTCCTCCCTATCCGCGTCGTCCCGGGACTTCTGCTTGCGGCCGCCCTTGCCACGGTCGTGGAAGTCCTTGGTCTGGCGAATGGCCTCGGCAGTGGCACGGTCCACGTGTGCATACAAAGCGTCCAACACGTCCTTGGGGGGCGCAGGGTCCTTCGGGAGCTTCTTCTCCAAAACAGACTCGATACGCAAGTACATCTCAAGATCGTACTGCGTGACCAAGGAAATGGATTTACCGGAACGCCCGGCACGCGCCGTCCGCCCGACACGGTGGATGTACGCCTTGGAGTCGGTCGGAATGTCGTAGTTGATCACCACGTCCACGGAGGGGATGTCCAAGCCTCGGGCCGCGACATCCGTGGCCACCAAGATGTTGGCACTGCCCGCCTTGAATTTGTTCAAGGAGCCCAACCGCTGGGACTGCGAGAGGTGGCCGTGGAGCGGCACCGCGGAAAACCCGAGGATCCGGGCGAGCAACGCCGTGCGCTGCGAGTGGGCACACGTGCGCGTGAAGATGATGATGGACTTGCCCATGAACTCGTTGAGAAGGTGGATGAGATACGTGTTCTTGTACCCGTCCGACACCAACATCATCAGCTGCACGAGGTTCTCGGCAGTGGCGTACTTGGACGACACGGCAATGCGCACCGGGTTCTGCAACGATGCCCGCTGCAACTTCTCGATCTTGTTGGTCATGGTGGCCGAGAAGAGATACGTGTTCCGCTCGCGCGGAATCACGCGCAAGATCTTGTCGAGCTCGGGCCCGAAGTCGAGGTCCAAGAGCCGGTCCGCCTCGTCCATCACCAAGTACTTGAGGTTGCGCAAACTGAAGCCCTTGGTGTTCTCCAAGTGGTCGACAATGCGCCCAGGGGTGGCCACAATCACGTGTGGCTTGCGCATCAAGTCTCGGGCCTGGTCCATCATGTCCATGCCGCCCACAATGCAGCATGTGCGGAGGCCCATTCCAGACCCCAATGCGTCAAACGTCTCCTTGATCTGGTACGCCAACTCACGCGTGGGCGCCAACACAAGCCCGTAGTATGGAAGCTGCGCGTGCCAGAGCGCCTGGAGGATCGGAATGGCAAACGCCGCCGTTTTTCCCGATCCGGTCACGGCAAGCCCGATCACGTCTTTCCCTTCCAAGGCATGCGGGATGGCCTCCGCCTGGATGGGCGTTGGCTTTGTGAACTTCATGCCCTGGATGGCCTCGAGCAATTCGGGAATCAACTTGAGCTGCGAGAAGTGCTCGAATCGCTTGCTGCCGTTGTCGGAGACCGTGATTTCAGATGCCTCTGGGGCAATGGAGGGCCCGTCCGTTGCGGGCTTGTTTTGCGCGAGCTTGGCGCGGAGCGCGTTCTGCTTGATTTTCTCGGCGAGCGCGAGCGTCTCCTCGGACTTCGAGTAGAGCTTGGATTTCTTGCCCGGTTGATTTTTGGCCATTTTGCGGTGTTGGGTGCTGGTAGAAATATACTGGGCTGGCGATGATCATCTCCCGTTTTCTCTTGCGAGAGGCCGACTGTATGCAGGCCGGTATGTTTCGGCCTCGGCCTGGCACGCTCAAAAGTCCGTGTCTGCTCGTCCAAGTCCGGCCCCAGTCCGTGTGTCAGTCCACAGATTCCGGCGTCATAAAATCTCCCCAAAACCGACCACTTCGGGGGATTTCCGCCGGGGTCCAAACCAATGACGTTGGCTGGTGCACGGGTGTACCTGCCGCATCGCGATGCGCATGGCTCCATGAAAAGATCTTTGGAACGCACCATATTCAAGCGCCCCAGAACTAACAAACCCACAGAAAATGGCCAAGAGAAGAGTCAAGAAAAGAACGCACCAGGGGCCCAACCCAGAGGAGGTGGCCAAAATCCCAAAGTCGATGGTGCTCGCCCTTGGGGCGTCGCTCAAGAACCGCTCATTGGCTCAGCTAGTGAAGGATTTCAGGCTCGTCATGGAGCCCCACACAGCCATCAAGTTGCGCGAGAGAAAGGCAAACAAGTTGAAGGATTTCGTGGTCATGTCCGGCCCATTATCGGTGTCAGACCTCTTTGTGTTCAAGCAGTCGCAGACGTCCGGAAACGTCTCGCTTAGAGTCGCCAAGATGCCCAAGGGCCCCAGCTTGCAGTTCAAAGTGAACTCTTACTCTTTAATGAAAGACGTGCGCCGCATTTTAAAGCATCCCAAATCCGCCGGCAGGGCGTCTGCGGCGTTCAAGCAGCCACCTTTGCTCGTGATGAACGGGTTCTCGCGTAAAGTGCGCGAGATGGAGAACCACGAGAAATTGATGATCACGATTTTCCAGAACCTCTTCCCGCCAATCCAGCCGCAGAAGACCAGGGTCGGCAGTATCCAGCGTGTATTATTGATCAACAAGATGGAAAATGGCGAGATCGAAATGAGGCACTATGCCATCAGCACCAAGTTGGTCGAGGAGTCCCGTAACATCAAAAAGTTGATCAACTCTCATCACAACAAAACAAAGAGTCTCCCTAACTTGACCAAACATACTGACATTTCCGACTTGGTACTAGACCCGTATGCCGTGGGTGGCCTAACGTCGGATTCCGAGGTCGAGGACGATGCTGTGGTCGAGATCCAAAACACGCAGGAACACAGTTTAAAGAAAAAAGCGGTGGAAGAGCCGCCAGCATCGGCCACAAGAAAAAGAGCCATCAAGTTGCAAGAATTGGGTCCGCGGATCAACATGAGCTTGGTGAAGATCGAGGAAGCCATTTTGGGCTCATCGAAAACCATCTACCACGCAAACATCCATAAGCTGAAGGAAGAGGAAAAGGCGCTTGAAAAGAAACATCAAATCAAGTTCAAGGAGAAGGCCGAGAGACGTGCGGTGCAGAAAGCTAATGTCGACGCCAAACAAGCCAAAAAGGACGCGAAGAAAGCTCGCAAATTGGCCCGGAAGAATGGTGAGTCTGCGACACAGGATTCGGGCGACGAGGACAATTCTGGTGACAGTGACAATGAGCCGCAAATCAACCCAAGCGACTACGACAACGACAGTGATTTGTTCAGTGACGTGGAGTAAGATAGATATGCGTTCGTATGTACAAGAACAAAGATTTGTGCTTTCGCGTATTATTTTTGACTGTAGATTGATGGGTGATCCTCAAGATTTTCCAAAGCACGCATTTTCTTGTACTCGTTCGACTCATGAAATGACACTTGGCCTTGGAACAAACATTCGCGGTCCTTCTTGGGTTGTTCTGGCTTGTCTGATACAATTTTTGCTGCTTCTAAGTCCAGCACCAACAGCGTGATTTCCCGCTGGAGATTTAGTAGCCTGAGCGAATCCACTAGCGCATTCTGGAAATGTGTTTGAGCATTGCGCAACTGATAGGGGACCATGCGACCAAACTGATAAACGGGATCTTGTGGCGGCAACACTGCTTCTTCGGAATCAGAAGATGAAAGACTTTGGCTTGTATTATCAGATAAATCTCTTTTTTCTGGACTTGTATGTTTCTGTTTCCGATTCCGTATATCTGGAAGTGGTTTTCTCGCTGAAGAGACCGCTTCCGTTTCAATACTCTGCGTCTTCCTATCAGATTCAATCTCCCCTCTTTTATGCTTGTCTGTGTTTTGGGCGCCATTTTCTCCGGCAATAATATCCTTGGTTCCTTCCTCGTCTTGCTCAGTAGATTTTGACTTTTTTTCGTTTCTTTTGTTTTTCCTTTCCCGTTCCTTATAGATCTTCCAGAGATCCCTGACTCTGAACGAATTCTGGGTCGTGTCGACGACTGCAGATGCACCACGTGGCCTCCGATCAATGGAATCCATGTCAAATCGTTGCGAGCCGTAGTAGTTTGCCCTACTTAGCTCGAGAAACCCATTTATGAAGCTGACACGAAACACATCGTTTGCCAACGATTCATATTCGTTCAAGAGATCGAGTAGCCGAAAGGTTTTAGCGTCTTGAGTTTCGATCTCGTATTCATTTGGGTCGCCGCCTGCGGATAAATTCTCAGATAGAGCGCCATCTTCACAAGCAACGGTCTTTAAAGCGGCCGCTTGTTCTCGGTAGCTAGAATCTTGTGCTTTCGACGCATTGACTTCCTCAGATTTTTCGTTGCACGCGTTGACGGCTTTACATTGACTGACGCTCAGAGATATGCTGGAAGGTACGTTGGCGTTCTCAACTTCTAGATCAAGACGCAGCAATTTGCTTGCAATCGCTTCTGCAGTCTCTGTCTCCGTTGGCTTATCAGTCATGATTAGCTGGCTGGTGTGTTCTGGACAGATCAGTAAGTTTAGATCGCGCGCGATCTAATACAGACGTGCGCTTATACATCAGATGAAAATTCACCGGGACAGAGCGCATGTTCATGTCCCCTAATACCAGCTAAGTAATTCAAAGAAGAGAACTTGTCTCAATACACATTTCTGCTGGAAGAAGTGATTTCTTGGATACGTTTTTTAGTAGTAATGTCTCGTCTCAGCTCCAGTGAGCGCCACGGACCCACAACTCGCAGACCGAGACCTAGCTGCTGTATATGCGCTTCAAGCGGTTGAACTCGGTCCGCGGAAGCACATCGCCGAAGGAGGCCGGGTCAGCTGGCCCAGCACGGATCAACGCAGCCTCGGCCGGCGTGCGCTCCTTCAGATGCATCTGTTGCCCGTGGTGCCAGACACTCCAGATCAACTCCTCCTCGCCATGCTGCTTTCCTGGGGACCGACGGTGAGGGGGCAAGTATACCACCTCGGCCAAGTCGTGCAATATATTGGCGGTAAGCCCCCAAACGTCGTAGATCTTCTCGTTGGACACGGAATCGCGCCGCGAGCCTAGATTACCCCAGCCGGACAAGTCTTTCTTGGGCTTCTTTGGGGGTCTTTGGGAATCCTGTGTCGGGCAGCTCTCCGGATCTGGTCCCGCCAGAGAAGCCTCTAACTCTGCTGCGGAATCCTCATCTTCTGTGGCGCTTAGATCGTCGTAGCCCCGAAGCCAGTGGACCTCGCCAGGGTTTGCCTGTGGAAATGTGTACGAGCGCAAGTTCCATGGGAGACCTCCCCATTTCACAGGGTGGTGGGTGCGGGCAAGCGCCTCTTTGGCTGGGGCGTCTGATACCGGGTAGAGGAAATCGTGGAGCGGGCACAGGAAGATACTGGAACACTCGCCGGGATTTACCCGGAGCCTCATGCGCAGCAAGGCCGCATCTACCTCAGTGTTGGCCGTGGTGTTGGAGGGAGCCGGGGTGTTTGAGTCTGTGCCACTGTTTGGGTCTGTGCCGCTGGTAGGGTTTGTATCGCTCTTGGGGTCTGTGCCAGATCCGCCGGTGTTGGTCCCTCCGGTGTTGGTCCCTCCGGTGTTGGTCCCTCCGGTGTTGGTCCCTCCGGTATTGGTCTCTGCGTTGGCACCCACATTGGTACATCTTTCAGTGTCTGGGCTAAAGGTTTTGGGAGTGATTTCCTCCGAGCCAACGCTGGTGTTGGCACCGACGCCCTCCTTAGCACCCGATTCGGACCAAATGTCAGCATTCTCTTTATGGCAGCCCACACCGCGGCCGGTGTTCAAAAATCCCACCACAGGCTTCACCGCCGAAAAGGTCCGCGACAAGTAGCACGGGAGCTCCGTGACCTGGTCAATCACCACGCCGTACTCGCGGTGCAATTCTGCATCGTTCTCACTCAACCCGATTTCTTCGCTCATCTCGCGCCGCGCCACCATCCACGGCAGCTCGAGCCCGTGGTCGGCCTTGCCACCGGGAAGCGAAATATGGCCCGGGAAATTGCGGAGCTGCGACAGCCGCTTGGTGAGCACCACGCGGATTTCGCCCACGCTGCCTATAAACAAGAGAATGAAAACCAGCGCGCGACGCGCAACAGGCATGCGGTGCCACACTGAGAGGGCCTCGCCCTGGTAGTGCTGCGCGCTGTAGTGGTGCGCGTGGTGAAGCGCGTCCATGACTAAGCGCGAAGTAGTGTGGGGGTGTGTTTGGACGCGCCGCAAAGGAGGTTTGCGAAAGATCACCAGAATCCGCACAAAAACAAATGGGCGTGAAAGGCTGCAGAAACACGCAAAAAACAACCGAGGGGAAATGGGCCCAAAAAGTTGGATTGGAATGGGGAAAACACCAACCCCAAAAAAATATCAACAACCGGAAAGTTGGCAATTGGAAGATCCGATCTCAGGGCTTGGAGATCTGACAGCTCCAGAATCTTACGCCGCAATAAGTTTTAGTTAATGGGCCCAACTGTCTTTTAATGAAGAAGAAAGTGGGAGTTGCAGGCGGAGACAAAAAATGTAAAAATTGGGCGGGAACAGTAACCGCCTTGCGGGTCCGTGATCTGGCGCCTTTCTTTTTTCGCCCGCCCCAACATTTAAAATGCGGAGATCGAGCCCACTCTGGGGTAGCACGGGTCACGTGACACACGTCACCGCCTGTAGTTTATTGCCCAATGTTTAAAGTTTTCTTGGAAGGGCTTATGATGTGTCGTTCAGTCCATCTCATTTGGGGTACCAATTAGGGCTGCTCGTGAGCTCACTGGAAGTTGCGTGTCAGTTTCAATATCAGGACTAGTAAGCTGAATCATATGTGTAGCTCAGCTCACTTGTATGATTATACAAAGACATAGATAGGCCAACTCTTGTGGCCAATAATCTGGAAGTTTGTCACACATCGACGTGTGATTTCTTGTTATGATGCAATTTGTTTTGATGTGACTTTCGTAAGAATATTTTTGGGAGTGTACCTGACCGTTTGGATCGTCACTTTCTGCTTTCCGAGTATGCTCGATGATAGTGCGATCGATTGAGTATGGTCGATTGTAGTACATTGAAATCTTACGAATTTTTGAACTCCTTCCTTACATTTTCATTCTAGTAGCCGGCTCCTCGAAATTATTGTAGCGGGCTTCTGGTTTTGGTGTGGCTATTGTGTTTGTTTGCCACGTGGAACTCTTCATAAACAAGGACGATCATCTCACTTATGCCTATTTGATTAATGATGCAAATCGGATAATTCCGATAACTTTTGCATTGAGCAGTCCTGAATTCTGCGGGAGAGTGTGGCGAATGAATTATTTTACGGTTTGGTGGCTTGGTCGGCCCTAGATTGATAACTAAAAGTACATTGGAATACCATAATTTCCTCGGGCTGATGGTGGTGTATCTCGATTAGATACATGTTTCAGACTATACTTCGACACTTTGGACAATTCCAGCTAAGAAAGTCGCAATTCATGGCGCTTCACTTTATGGCCTGATGAAACCCAGGTAAGTACATGGCACTGAATATTGTGGCTCTATACTCTCGTGTCTTTTGTGTCACACAATAATCATGAATCATGCAAACAGTCCGAAAACAAGTGGTTCCAGACTTGATGCCATAGTGTTGGTTGCGTGCATATCCACTATTCTAAGTATTAAACACATTCATCCAGGTTCACGAGACCTTTTTTGAACTCATATAATACTCCAAATAAGCTTTCATGAAATTTATCGGCTGTGCATGACAGTCTTTGTATTATTCGGAGTTTTGCAGCCGATTGCCAAAGCGAATCATCAATAAAAAGAGAGGACGGCCCTTGGCTATCCACTTGATCCGACATGCTACAAATAACATTTCTTCCCTGCTTCTTGGTTGATTAATACCTAAAAAATTCACCGAGATCCATCCCTTTTGAATGCAACGCTAGCTTTGAAAAGCTGTTTGCGAGTCGTCTTCAATCGAAGTGGTCAATGGCTAGGTCGGTCCAAAAGTTTGCATTTGCTACCGAAAGGCAGATCTAATGTTTGTTGACTTCATCCCCCATTTAACGGCCTGTTGAAGACACGGCACCAAGTGAGTATATGTAAATATCGATATTCCAAGAAAACCCTGAACGCTTGACTAGCTAAATAACTCGGTGATATCGTTTTTCACTTTCGGACATGGCATTTCCAGTTCCAAGCCTACAAGTCAGTGTGAGTAGTTTCATTGAGTCAGAAGCTGAAGATCAAATGCAGAATGATCCCACCGTCCTTCGCCACTATTCTGAGACAAATCAAACAGCTTTTTTCTATTTGTTCTACAAACTGCACAGTATAACTGGGCTGTTCTCGTTGTGGGTTCTACATAAATCACAATTGCTTGGAAGCGATTTAGCATGAATCATGCTTGGCGGTAAGATAAGATAAAAGATAAGACGAGATCCATCTTATCCATGATGATAAGAATGATAAGACAAGTCGCATATTCTAGCTACGCCCAGCAACCCATGAAGCTTTGTCTTACACCAGACAAGAGTTTCAGGTCAATGTTTCGATATCGGATATTTTCCAATTTGGGGACCGAAAGCCAGGACAACCCCATTCAGGAGTCCCGTGTCTCGGCCCCCACCGTGCGCTTCTTCCGTCATCCTACATCTCACGTGCTTGTCGTTTCGCTGTCTTGAATATTTCTATAAGTCTATTATACATCCGATGGTTCCATCGCGGCACCCGTGCCGGCTTACTCGGCCAAAAGGTCAGGCCACGTGTTGACGTCGGCGTTCTCGTAGATCACGGCGTAGGTGGCCTCGAACAACTTAAACTCGTCCTGCAACTTGTAGTTCACCAACAACTCGTGCACCTCCTTGGCGGTGATGATACCCTGCGAGGACTGGCCGTTCAACAAGACCTTCTCGGCCTCCCAGGCGTCCACCTTGTTCTCCACCATGTAGCGGGCAACCTTGACGTTTCTGCCTCCGGAACAGGTGGTGATCAAGTCGGCCACACCGGCAGACTCCTCGGTGAAGGTCGTGGACTCAGGCGCAGACAGGCCCGCAATGCCGAACTTCTGCCAGTAGGAAGCAAAGTGGATGGTCTCCTTGATGCCGATTCTCATGATGGCGGCCTTGGCGTTGTCGCCCCAGCCGGCACCCTCGACGAACCCGGCGGCAATGGCCACCACGTTCTTCAAGGCTCCGGCAATGGACGCACCAATGACGTCCTTGATCACGTTGACGTGGAAGTATGGTCTGTGGAACGCCTCCTTCAAGATGTACTCGCAGATGTCCTTGCCCTCGCCGCGGAAGTCAGCGGGTCTGTTGTAGGCAATGGAGGTCTCGGACCATCTGCCTCTGGCCACCTCGTTGGCAATGTTGGCACCGGACAAGACTCCGCAGTAGATGCCCAAGGTGTCGGTGATGGACTGGGACAACAACTTGCAGCCCTCGGCGTCCACCTCCAAGCCCTTGAGGCACGAAATGGCCCTGGCGTTTGGCGACACCTTGCCCGCCAATTGCTTGCACACTCTAGGAAGGAACTGGTGAGGGATGTTGAAGATCAAAAGATCGGCGTCCTTGACGGTGGCCTCGATGTCGGGGTTGGCAACCAAGTTTTCGGGCAACTTGACCTCGGGCAAGTACTTGACGTTCTCGTGCTCGGTGTTGATGATTTCGGTCAATTTCTTGCCGTTGATGTCCTCCTCGAAAACCCACATGTTGACCTGCTTGTGGAAAAGCTCGGGCTTCTCAGCGGCATTCTCGGCCAAAAGCTTGGCCACGGCGGTACCCCAGTTTCCAGAGCCGATAATGGCGATTCTGAACTGAGACTCGATTTTGAAAGGGGCAGTGGTAGTCATTGTGTAGTAGCTAGTGTAGTGGATGGAAACAAAAGCAGGGCAGGGCCTGGGGACTGCAGAGCTTTTATAATTTTTGCGCCCAGTCCAGAAACCTGCCACCGCAGCCACCTGCAGACAGGCCCGGCGCCGCCTGCAGGACGGCCTCGCCCGTTTGCGCTCTTCGGTGTCGGGCCCGCTGCACCTGTGCAGCTCGCGGCGCCATTACATCATGGCCTGCGACCAGCCGGCCACTATCGGAAGGGAAGGCCCCGACCAGGCCAAACACCCGTGAAACAAATCGCAAAGACTGCGTAAAAAAAAAAAAACAAGAAAGCAATTAGGGGATACCGCACTTTAACATGACGCAGCACGTGAGGGGAAAAGACCCTCAAGGGTTCTGTGTCCGGCTCCGCTGGCCGGAGTTAGGCCCGCCGCGTCATCCATTTTTCTGACGTGCCCCTCGAACGACGGAGCGTTGCTGTTTCCCAGCCGGCCATTGCTTTTTTTCGCCCACAATGCTTATTCGCAGGACGCCACTGTGCCCTGTTTCTTTTTTTTTGCGGCCGTTGTCTCGTGGTCTTTAGATACGCGCGCCTGTGTGCAGGCCTGCTCTGCGAACGCTCGTACCATTTCATCTCGGTGAACACGGCTAGACACCTGTCCAAACTGAAATCACACGCCGGCTTGCCGGACTGCCTGGTGCGCATTTCCTTGTAGGCGCCTCAGCCCCATGGGCCCGTGCTGGAATTTACACTGTCTATGCTGCACTTTACACGGGGCCGTCCCCACACCCTGCAAAGTCTGTAATCCAGGGCTGGCATTCCCGACGTGCAAGCCACGATAAGACCGTCCCTGCCTCCTGCTTTCTGCCCAGCGCTATCGCCGCTCGTTTGACCCGAAATTTCCGGATTTAGGCTGAGGAAAAAAAATCCAAAGCATTTCGTCATCGCGGACTGCACACTGCATCATGACGTAGCCATACGTCTGGACCACCGGAAACTCGTTTGGGCCTTCGGCAAAACACGGGTCGATAGGAGACGTTGTTTTGCAATTGAACTGCCGTTTACGAACATGATCTATCACGAACGTCTGCAAAAATGCTGCAACTTCTACAGTCCCGATCACCTACAAAAGTCTGGTGCACGGGTGTGTTGACCCAGGTCCTCTTGGGGGCCACTTCGTAAATGACCAAAGACGCAAAGAAGCCAGGTTTAGACCCGGAATTTCTTGCAAGATAGTGGCTAATCTATTTGCAGTATCTAGCGTGTGCTGATTCGTATCGTCTTTGTCTCTTTTATTGCCTGTTTCGTATCAAAGATACCTCCATTTTCAGCTTCTTTTTGATGTGTTTTTAGATCCTGATATAAATTGATAGACCTGTCAAGTTCTCTAATTCATAATTTCTGAGTAGGTAGACTCGTGCACTTTTCCGGTCAAGGCCACCTTGAAATATCACGAGTGACAAACAAGCATATTTCGCGGTGATCAATTGTGGCTCACTTGAAAAAGTCTGTCTGTTTCTTGGACTGTAGGGTGAATAGCCTCTTAGACAAAAGGAGCTCACAAAAACAAATGAAATATATTCTTCGCCACTTAGTTCAAGCAAGAAAGAGGAAAACCCCTCATTAGCCAGAAAGTTGAATTCATAAGTTGTATTCATAGGCAGCCCAGGCACTTTCAAGAATTGCCGTCAATTATTTTTCGGTAAATGTCTTTTCACGCACACCTAATCGGCTTGATCATTCTAGAGGCCACTAAGCTACAACATTGGCTGCGTGCAAATAGCAAGAAAGCAGTTTAAACATCTCAATTCACCGTCAGGACCATTGCTGCATCCTTACATTACCTATATGAAAAGAGCCAAGAAAACCATCCTAAGCAAGAACAATGAGTATTCACCATGCCATTGATGCCTTTCATCAAACAATGAGTTATGAATCTTAACGACCAAATACACTGCATCTGTTGGCCGTCGACAAAAAAAATTTAGAACCAGAACCCTGAGCATGTGAGATTTCTTGTCGCAAAGGTCGTTACATTTTCCGGTACAGACTCATGGCTTATACTACTTTTGGATGTCTAGGACTTCAAGTATCTCAAAAGACCCCAGATGAATTCTCAACAACGTTGAGGGTACTTAACCCATTAGTTTGTTCAAATTTATTCCATTTTTTAGACTAGTACAAATTGAAACTTGATGCCAGAGAAAATATTGTTAATAGCGTCAGAAGATTCTTCGAAGCATTGTAATGGACTCCAAAGGGTCCAGTGCCCTCCAAAGGGTCCAGTGCCCTCCAAGGCCCCAACAAGGAACGTTTGTTTCGAGTAGAGCCAACAAAACTCGTTCATTGTTGAAACACACTTGGAAACGGAACAAATGGATACAAAATATTGTTCAAGGGTATCCCCGCAATCACCGTTCTGTATTCCCAGTCTTGTCTCAAGTTCTAACAAAAACATGGGGTCTTGCTTTTTTTGGATTCACCTGATTAAATGAGCAAAACTGTGAGAAATATTCCAGCTCTTGTTGAATAGTGAAGACATATCGGCTGCAAAAAAATAGTATTCCCCCTTCAATTTAGAGACAATAAATAAACATCGCAAGGCAAAAAGAAGTGATTTCGCCCAGGATCGAACTGGGGACGTTCTGCGTGTTAAGCAGATGCCATAACCAACTAGACCACGAAACCCGCTTCGTGTATTTTGTTTCTGTTAGTTTAATAAATTCTGTAAAAATAAAGACGTAGAGCTTTTTTTCCGGGCTTTTACAATTACCAATTCATATTACAATGATACAGATAATATATCTTGGAAACTCTGATTATACTCCGCACTCTAGGAGACCTATCCTAGAGGATGACGTAATATCCAATACGTAAACAGATACGTGCCATGAGTACCTTCCAGGCCGTGACTACCGGAAGGGGACGGGCCGAGCTAAGACACTTGGTACGTAGCTGAGAGCTGTTTAAAAGTTTTTGATATATATTAGTTATTTAGTTTTGCCCCTTTAATCAAATGAATCTACCAAAAAAAATTAGAATACCACGATTTTAAGTGATGCTCGGGATCATCAACTCGATGTAAATTTCGAGTACCCTGATATTAGATATGTGTCTTAGGAAGATTAAATAGAAAAAAACCACTTTCTATAAATACATGCTCACTTTTCGAGCAAATGAAGACCATATACTAGTTGAAAGATGATTGAACTAGAGGCATAAATTATTAGCTCTGCATTCAATTGATTGTTCCACCTTCATTCTATGGTCAAAACTTAGGACCACTCTTTTTCATGTATTGACGCGTGATGCTTCCCTTCTGAGAAGTCAAAACATTATTGTCTCGTCAAAAAGATTATTTCGTAACGAAATTATGGACCAAAGTACAAACATGCCTTTATTTTCAACAGGGGTTGAGGTGCTCTATTTCGAAACACACCGGGTATTCAAGACATTCCGGCTATACGAGCAGGGCAATAAAGTATTTTGAAGACACAGCCTCAGATTTCTTCAGGCGAAACTCATTTAGTTTGAAGCACAGTCTATGAAGCATCTCACAACTTACGAATATGAGTAGCTGCTTGAGTACTTGCTTATCAATTTTGTTTTGTGACTTGAAGAAGCTAGTGGCTTTCTTAATGTCAATTGATTTTTTTTTTTCATCTGAAAGAGCTATTTTGACTATTCCTATCTTTAGAATCTGCAAGGGCTTGGGATACACGATTCGATAAGTAGGGACACTTATCCTATCTTAACGTAGTCTGATCAAGTAACAAATAAATGGTTCTGATGACACCATTTTGAACGGCAACTCCAGGAACTAGAATTATCATATTATCATCTCCACATATCAACATACCCTGTATTCATATTGATGCAGAACATTCAATCAAGGGCATCGATCTCTCAAATACTTCCGAGAAGAACAAGTGGCACATTCATCGGTTGTGTGTCCCATGACAGTACACATCAATGAAAACAAACACTCTTCACATGGTACTATCAAAAAGGAAATCTAACGAAAGCTCACGACACACCCTTAGCATATATCAGGATTCTATTGGCAGATTCTAGAACTCAGAAAGACCCTCTCTTCCAATCCTGAGCCAAGATTCGTCCCTCGATCATTTCTGGCGGGTTTGTTTTTTTTTTCTTTTTAAACACTGATCGTTCGCCACGGCTATCTTTGCATCAAGGCCAATCGTCTTGACCTGTCATTGTCTATAGTCGCCGCCACCGTCCGCTGTCACCGATCACCATCTACCATATCTTGCGTCTCTCAACTGACCATAATCTCTTGATCTACACATAGAAAACTCCTAGTAATCATCGTTGCGGTAATCGTCGTAGACTTCCTGATCCTCTTGCGACATCAATGAAGGCCGCCCGCGGCCGGCCGGCCGGCCCTCGGATTCCCACATGTCATCTTCCATCCAGCCACCGCCCTGCACCTGGCCCCCGCTAACCACCTGGGCAGCCTGGAATGAAGTCAAATCTCCGTCAAGAGCTCCGTCTCGGATATGCGCTAACGGGTCTGGGAGATGGCTGCGGATGTTCTGTGACTCATTCGTGGTTTGGGGAAAATTGGCCAGGTCCGCAGGCACGCTTCCGTGTGGAGGCACGTGGTAGTCGGGTTCGTGACTTCGCTCGTGGCGCAACGGATCACTGAGATGCTGGCGGATATCTTCGCCCGTGCTCTTTTGCACAAGCTTGTCGCCCTCTTTCGAGAGCTCGACCAGCCGGTCCAGGATTTGCGACATCAACTTCAAGAAATCCGACTGCTGGAATTTGTGCGCCGTTTCTTGTGATTGCTGTGCGTGGCCCGTGACCATCAGCTCGTGCACCTGGCGTGCCGCGTCGGCAAAGTGCTGTTTTTCGGTGTCGTCCACCGGCTGCACATTGTCGTGTTCCTGTTTGGCCTGGCCTGGCTGTTCGGCCCGGTGTGTCTGTGGGGCCTGGTTTTCGCCTTGCTCCAACTCCTGCTCGATCACGTCGAAATGTCGTGAGAGCGCCTGGTCGTCGATCTGGGACATATGCAAGTCGCTGTGCTGGTGGGTCTGCAGGCCGAGCTGCGTTTCGTGTAGCTGGTGGCCTAGCAGGCCCATCATTGGCTGGTGGGCTTGCATGTTTTGCCAGCCGTTCTGAGACACGCTTTGCATGGTTTGCATGTTTTGTGTTTTCGGCATGTTTTGCATGTTTTGCATGTTTTGCATGTTTTGCATGTTTTGCATGAACTGGAGATGCCAGCCCTCCTTCTGGCCCGTGCTTTGCGGATGGGCCCTGCTCTGTTCTTCAAGAGAAAGCCCCCGGAAATCCTGCACCCATTCTTGGTTCCTGCCCCCATGAGCACGGGGGCCCATTGGGGCCAGGGCGGCCGGGGCATATGTGTTTTGATTCTGTAGACTGTGCGCCTGGAAGTCGGAAGAAGTTCCCTGGTTGAACCGGTGGAAATCCTGGCTAAGCCTGGCGTCTATGCCCGGGCCATTGCGGAACGCACTAGGCGCCAAGTTTCCGGGCAAATGCTGCCGTTCATGCTGTAAGGAATTGTCTCTTTGCGTATGCTTGGAGAGTTGTGATAGCGCGTTTGCGGGCCCACAGCTGGCGTCCATTTCTGCGGATTTTGGCGCAATACGCTTGGGGAAATATAGTGCTTCGGAATTATAAAGCCGGGGTTTTGCGTCGGATCCCTGGTCTGTGTGGCGCTTCTAAACTGTCAGCCTGTAGAAGTCGGGGACGTGCCTTGAGAAAGGTTGGGTATCAGAATTCAGCCAAGCAGCACCTATTTTCCAAGAAGGCGCTGGTGGCTCTGACTATGTGTAAAATATCAGTGCAGACCTTAGTTTTGGTCGCTTGGCTTTGCAAAAAAAAAACGTAGCAGATGGGTGGGGAAAACGTGACTGGGAGATCTCGGTTACTATATAGCTTGCGTCTTGTGAAGATGCCGATGGACCGCGGATCCAGAGCCGAGTGCCGGTTTCGCCAAATGGTCAGCAGGTGGTGCGGAAAAATGTTCCCGATTGGGAGACTTTTTAAAGCGGTGGATCAGGCCGAGTCGAAAAAAGAGGCCCTTTGAATCAATCAAGAGTGGCGGGTTTTGGGGGGCGATTTGGCTTCTGATTTGGCTTCTGATTTGGCTTTTTATTTGGCTTCTAATTTTGCTTCTAATTTTGCTTCTAATTTTGCTTCTAATTTTGCCTCTGGTTTTGCCTCTGTAATGCTTCTAATTTTGCTTCTAATTTTGCCCCTAATTTTGCTTCTGATTTTGCTTCTGATTTTGCTTCTAATTTGGTTCTAATTCTGCCCCTAATTTTGCTTCTGTTTCTGCCTCTGTTTTGGCTTCTGATTTTGCTTCTGATTATGTTTTTAATTTGGTTCTAATTCTGCCCCTAATTTCACTTCTGTCTCTGCTTCTGTTCCAATCTGTTTCTGTTTCTACTCTGAACTAATGGAAGATATGCCTGTTTTCAAGCGGCAAATACTCTTTTCACTGTTTGACTATCTGGTCTGCTCTTAAACGCAACAGCTTTCATACAAAGTCTTACCGTCCAGCCTAATCAAGTTGGATGCCGCCCAATATTTTGCTTTGTGGGCTTCTGACTAATACAAACACAGCCCTCGTCACTTAGACATAAGATTCTTACAAGCGTTTGCTTGACATACACTACATTCAGCCAGCTGAAAATATTTGGCAAACAGCCATGATTTTTTTCAGCTACGTAAGGAGCAACCAGGAGCTTTGTAGAAAAGTCCAGACTTCAGCTGCCTCCAGCAATGGCACTCCGAAGTGAAAGGTTGAACGAAATACGGGCTATAATACTCTCTGTCCAGCAACCCGGCTTCGTCACAGTCGCAGGCTAATGTATCTCAAGTCTCGTCCATCACACTCCTGATAATCGTAGCGAGCCAGTCACTACTCACGCTCTCTTCCTCGGCCTTTTCACCCAAGGCCGCATCGTCACAGTCCACAAGACAATACAGTTGCAAACCCAGGATGTATTTTTCTCAATACCCAAGTGTCCCAGGGCCCATAATCACTGGCTCTTGCCAATAGTCTGCTCACCAGAGGCCTCGAAAAGCTCCCCATAAGCCTCGCCCAAGAATTCGTGGATGTTCGATGTCTGCATCGATCTCTTGTACCGGCCAAATGCTTTGTTGCTGGCCGCCCTCACCAACGCACACGCCGCGTAGCACGCAACCAAAGCAAGGTCGTCGTTTTCAATGTGCTCGTATCTCGGCGTTTCCCAGGCGCCCTCCTGATAATGGGACGCCCACACAAGCATGGTGGCCATGGCTCCTGTGAGTGTATCGCCCTGGCCACCCACGCGTCTGACCGACCCCTCCATATCGTTCAAGAGGCAGCTCTGGCCCCTCACTATGACCTCCTGTGCGCCCTTTTTCACCACCACCACGCCGCCCAACAGTTCCGAGACTTTCTGCGCGGTTTCTACGGAGTCTGTGTTTTCGATCCCGAGGGCCGAGCAGATCCGGCCAAACTCCACCACGTTGGGCGTGATCACGGCTTTCTTGTATCCCCGGATGAGCAGCGGGTCCAACAGAATAAGGAAAAGCGAGTCTGCGTCGAGAACCACCGGTTTGTTGGCCACCATGATCTCCTGCAAAATGCGCTGGAGCGTCTTGAGCATCAAGGGGTCGCGCCCAAAGCCCGGGCCCACCACAAAAACGTCGATCCGGTCCACGAGTGCCATCACCTTGGGCAAGATATGCGTGTCCACGATCTTCCCGAGCAGCTCGTCCTTTAAGGCCTCCGTGGGCGTTTTTTTCAGCAAGGCGGCCCACGTTTCTGCAGGGGCAAAGCGGGCCACCTCTGGATTCAGCAGCTCGTACAAATAGGGGTGCACCATCAAGTCGGGCGAGTATCCCTTGATGACCGGCGCCGCTAGTTTCTCGCAGATCACGTGGCTGAGGTCTGCGCCCACCAATGCTGCTGAATGGGAGGCAAAAAAGGGGGCGCCTGTGTAGTCCTCGCAGCCGCCGAAAATGCCGACCTTTCCCGCCTGGCCTTTGTGGAAGTTCAGCTGTAAAGGCTGGACAATCAGCCGGGCTAGCTTGAGTAGTTCTTTCTGTGATTTGCCAGCGAGCATAGCAATGGGTCGTGAGTATGTATTTGTGGACTTACGAGTTTATTTCAGTTGATGGATGAAATCCAACGTGTGATGTAGAGAAGAAGAAAGGTGGTAGCAAGGTGGATCATATGATCTGACGCTGGATCACCTGATGCATATGTAGGAACTGGGGCAGTTGCTCCGGATGCGGGGTGCGCAAGTGCGTCCGAAAGATATATAACTTCGTGAATTATTGGTGTATTAGAGGGGTCCGTTAGTCATAATGTGTTCATGGCATTTCTTCATTCTGGATTTATATGCCTAGATCCTCAAGCTGTGTTTGAGGGCCTCGGAAATCCGAATTTCGCTGTGTCTTAAGCCCTGGTTCGAAGAAATGCTCATGTAGGCTCGTTCGATAGGGGCACTAGCTGCGCATGTTCAATGTGACTGCAACAGTCGAGGCGGCACCGGAGTTTCTGAATATTTCAGAAAGAGTGGTTTCTTCCTCGTGCGTGCAGAAATCAATTTGCTGGTGTAGCTTTGGAACCTAAGTGATTGGAACAGCGGACCTGTTTTATTATTGCAAGGTCTGGTGCAGAACATAGCTTCGGGTCACTCCATTTATAATTAGAGTCTTTGTTTAATTGAGCTGCCCCGGGGCTTGCTCTCCAGCTTTCCTCAGGATGATCTACGTTTTTATATTTCACAAATATTGAGCTGGTTTTGCATCCACTTGTTTGAGTCCAGTTAGATTTTATGCTCAGTATATATATTTGGAGTTGTTATTATAGACTCAGCAGAAACCCGCTAGCTTCCGGGTGTCTGTAATCATTTTTTTTAGAGATCCTGGTCTAAAAAGCTGATATTATGTAGAGAACAATGCATGTATGTTTTTATAGCTTTTATTCACTGTGCTATGAAAGCCTGTTTGGTTCTATATAGAGTGCATGTTGAGAGGTGAATTTTGGCTCTGTTTATAAATATTGAGATTTTTTCCTACACATTGCAAAAATCATTCTCCTCACAACGCAATTTTGTTTTGTAAAAACCCATTTTAAAATACGAAACCGCAGAAATACGTTCTTTTTTTTACCGGAACACATGAGATAGCATAATTAATCAACGACTCTTTTTAAGTACCTGAAATTGATAAAGGCAGTTTGGCTCTCGTATCCGGCAAGCGCATCGCACGCCAGATGAAACTCATTAGCAGTAGCCACTAGCGATACATCATAGTATTTGATACGTGAATTTGTGTCTTGCTATTTGAGCTAGAATGCCCAGAAAAAGTGCCAAAAGCAACAGTTAAACGACAGGAGAACGAGACTACCAAAGACTAAATTGCCGAAACTTGTCAGAAGTCGAGTGCCGCCTCGACTACTCGCACGTTATTTAATGAGTTTTCTGATTTCCACTAATGAACCGCGAGCGCTGGTATTTCCATTCGGCACTGCCAAATAAACACAGCTACAATCACGACCACCAAAAGATGATAGCCACATGGCGGCTGCTAAAAGCTTGAAGAGAAGCCTCTACTTCTTCCGGGCGGTCACGTGACACATTCCATGTCTTGTTTCACCCAGAGTCTTGACCCATCTACGCTACGAGTCTTTACAAGAAGAACTATGGAAAGCGACATGACATGGTGCTGGATCTTGGGCTGTTGACAAATCAGGTGATTTGGATGGTTGGATTGAGGTATGTGGGTGCGAATCTCGGTCCAACCATGAAATGGCCGAAGGAGTTTTCTGAGATATTCCTTTTTATTTGAGTCTGAGGTGAGTTTTGGGCATTGAGCTAATCAGGTGGGTGAAGTTTTTATTTTGACAGGCTTCGAGGGAGGCAACAATGGAGATAATTGGAGGCGATACTCAGAAGGAAACAGAGGTCTTCCGGGTGCAATAGGCAGAGGTGTTAGTTCGAGGGAATGATCAGAGGGAATTAGAAGAAAAGTATTCAGGGGAAAGAGGAATAAGAGGAGTGAAGCAGAGGGAAGTATCAGAGGGAAGAAACAGGGAAATTATCAGAAGCCAGATTTAAGAGTAATAATTAGAGGCGCAGCGGGAGAATTAGAGAGAAAACCAAGAGAATAGAGATGTAACAAATAGAAGCAATAGGCCGAGGTAACAAGCCGAGGAAATACCCAGAGGTTTGATCAGAAGCATCACAGATCACAGAAGAGCTTTCAGAAAATCACCAGAAGTAGAACCAGATGTAATACCAGAAGTCATACCAGAAGTCATACCAGAAGTCATACCAGAAGTCATACCAGAAGTCATACCAGAAGTCATACCAGAAGTATTACCAGAAGCGTTACCAGAAGTAATACCAGGGGTAATACCAGAAGTCATACCAGAAGCACTAAAGATCATCATCAAAAATATCACCAAAAGCATTACTAGAAGCAATACCAGAAGCATTACCAGAAGCATTACCAGAAGCATTACTAGTCATACCATAAGCAATACCATAGTCATACCATAAGCAATACCATAGTCATACCAGAAGCCACGCCAGAAGCACTAAAGATCATCTCCAGAAGCATCACCAAAAGCAGCAAACCAACAAACCATAAGTCGAAGAAAAAAAAAAATATCAAAGTAAAAACGCCCGTCTCAATTAGGGCCGTGGCCGCGCGGTCCAGTCTTGCTCTTTCGCCGATTCCTGTTTCGCCCCCGCCCCGCCAATGAGCGACTGCGAAGGCGCAATGGCAAATTGCACCCACGTCATACCAGCACCTCCAGGGCCATCCCACGAAACCCACAGGCACCATGCCCCCAGCGCCAGGAGGTGCGGCAGAGCCCCCGCACGTGGCCGGGCCCCGGACCAGGCAAACAAAAAACACCGCCCTGCCAGTCTGGTTTTTTTTTTCTGCTGCCGTGGGGCGGCCAGGAAATATTATGGCCCTGGCCCCGGCTCGTTTTTTTTTTTTTTCGTTGGCCCTGCGTGCGCGCCCACTGTTGCTCCACGGCCAAGCTAGATACAAGAGCGCGGGCCCGGCGCCCTTCTTCTCCACCCTAGAAACTCCAGTTCCTGTCAACGACCGCCCCCCAAAAGCAGTCGAGCCCAAGAACACGCCGAATTTCGAAGCCGCCGAATTTCTAAGCCGCCGTTATCTCCGCAGCACGCAATTGCCCACCCGGAGTTAGCCTTGCACACCCCAAACACCGCCTGTGCTATCCACCATGTCTGTCACCAGAGCCGCCAGCAGACTCTTCTACCCCACGTTGGGCGCCATTGGCGCCGCCGGGCTCGCGTGGCACTTTTCCGGACCCAAGATCTGGAACGAGCCCTCCAAAACGTTCAAGGACGGCAGCGAGTGGATCGACTTGAAGTTGAAGGACTCGTGGCACATCTCGTCCAACACGAAGCACTATGTTTTCGAGTTGAACAGCCCGGACGACGTGTCTGGGTTGGTCACGGCCTCGTGCTTGATGGCCAAGTACGTGACGTCCAAGGGCAACAATGTGGTGCGGCCATACACGCCCGTTTCGGACCCCGACCAGAAGGGCACCATTGAGTTTGTCATCAAAACGTACCCCGAGGGCAAGTTCTCCAAGCACGTGCACGACCTCAAGCCCAACGACACGGTCAGCTTCAAGGGCCCCATCGTCAAGTGGAAGTGGGAGCCCAACCAGTTCAAGAAAATCACCTTGATTGGCGGCGGCTCGGGCATCACGCCCTTGTACCAGTTGATCCACGAGATCAGCAAGAACCCCAGCGACAACACCAAGGTGGACTTGTTCTACGGCTCCTTGAGCGAGAAGGACATTTTGTTGAAGAAGGAGTTGGACAAGGTGGCCGCCGAACACAAGGACCAGATCAACGTGCACTACTTCATCGACAAGCCGGAGGAGGGCTGGACCGGCCACACGGGCCACATCGACAAGGCCTTTTTGAAGGAGCACCTCCCGGGCCCCTCCGCGGACTCCAAGATCTTCGTGTGCGGACCGCCTCCTTTGTACAACGCCATTTCCGGCAACAAGGTTTCGCCTTCCGACCAGGGCGAGGTCACGGGCATTTTGTCCGAGTTGGGCTACACCAAGGACCACGTTTTCAAGTTCTAGGTGGCCCAAGTGAGTACGAGGCATATAGACCAATGTAAGCGATTTCCATGAGGCAGTGTAGGATGGAGAGGTAGTGTAGGATGGAGAGGTAGTGTAGGATGGAGAGGTAGTGTAGGATGGAGAGGCAGCAGGATGGAGAGGCAGCAGGATGGAGAGGGTAATGTGGGGAATTGATGGGGATTGTTACCGGACATTTACCCTGGGTAACAGTCCAAACGCTGACGTGTGCCAAGAGGTCATATTAGTATACTGTTGGTAAGCATACTGAGATACTCTTGGTAGACATACTGAGATACTATTGGTGGGCGTACTGAGATACTATTGGTGGGCATACTACAATACTGTTGGTGGGAAGATTGCGACATTGTTGGTGGGAATACAGCTGGCATTGGTAGAATAGTGCCAGTGGATGGATAGGCACACCGGTGGGATTGCCCATGGAGTATGCCACGTATCGCATAACCCATGATACATTTCATTTGGAACGGGCCACCGCTGAAACCAAAGATTTACTGCGTCGTCACTTTCCATGATATAGAAAAGTCCCAGGTTTCTTAATCAAATTGGTGGTATCCCCCTGAACATACATGCCGTATCACGTAAGGATAATGAAGTTCCCGAGCTGATTACCAAGAGCCACCGTTCGATTAATGAATGGTGATTCAGTTTCTGTACCTATCTGACTTCATGACAAGAGGGTTCCACTAGAACGAAGATTTTACTGCCAGAAGCTCGTCCATGCGTGGACAGGCCCCAGGCGCCAATGTATAACAATTCGTTTTCAAAGCTACAAATCGAAGCCAACATATCAAAAACTCTCAAGACACCTGCGAATAAAACTTAGTGCGAAGATAATTCATCAGTCGTACTCCCCAATTTCTCTACCCAATCGAAGAACACTTTATCTTTTCACAAGATTCAACTGACTCTCTCGAAGAAAAGACATTTAAACCGACACGCAAAAAATGTCAAAGTATTGTAGACCCAATCACTTGTGGCCAATGCCCCCATACAGTGCCAGTTTTTCTTGAAACGCTTGCTCACAATGGTGTTTCCCCACCCATCCCACGCCCATGGTTTACACACGATGATCGGACAAGAAGGAGCCTTGCCGGGTCTAAGAAAATCAGCTCGTCCCACTGAATTTCAATTTCAAGGGCCTTTACTTGACGTAAGCTTGACACGAGGTGTACGGGTGCAGGCCCATCTCGAACATCAGCTGAACTGCTTCTTTTCTCCCCAATGTCCACGAATATCCCGGATTCAGACTCCATTTGTGACATGAAGCCCGTACGTATAGCAGTAGAGGGCTGCTGCCACGGTAAGCTCAACAAAATCTACCTGCAAGTGCCGAAAAACGCCGAGCTTCTCGTCATCTGTGGCGATTTCCAGGCCATTCGCAACCAACGGGACCTAAAAGCAATGAATGTGCCCCAGAAGTACCTCGAGATGGGCGACTTCCCCAACTACTATCTGGGAAAGAAAAAGGCCCCTATACTCACGGTTTTCATAGGAGGAAATCACGAGCTGTCTCTGTATTTGAGGGAGCTCCAGTATGGAGGATGGGTCGCCCCAGGAATTTACTATCTAGGCGAATTCGGCACAATTTGGTACAAAGGCTTACGGATCCTGGGAGCCAGCGGGATCTACAGCCATGACAGCTTTGTCAAGGCGAAATCAGACAATCCGCCGGCGTACAAGTTGCCTTACAACCACTCCACTATAAGATCTATATATCACGTGAAGCCCAAGAACTTTCTCAAATTGATGCTTTCGGGCTCGTCAGATGTCATGTTGTCGCACGACTGGCCCAAGGGTATCTGGGAATGGGGCAACAAGGGCACTCTTTTGAAGAATAAGCCGTTTTTGAAGACAGACATCGAACGCGGCCATTTGGGTTCTCCTTTGGCCACCACAGCCATGACCCACTTGAAGCCTAAGAACTGGTTCTCGCTGCATATGCACACATTCTTTGAGGCCACAGTCAAGCACGAAAGCCCGGCTGCAAAAACCGCAGAAACGAGTGCTTTAGATCCAGGCGAGAATAAGCGAAGGAAGATTAGCGTGGAGTCCGAGAAACTGAAGGACGCCAATGAAATCGCGTTGGATATGGATGATATGGATGTTTCGGAAGAGACCTCCGGGCCTGATGAGACTCTTCAAATGGAACAGAAGGAGGAAAGCAAAGACATATCACCTTCAGGTAACACAAGCGCAGAAGACACAGAAGGCACATCCGCCGAGGGCCTGACAGATGCAAAAAACTCAAGAAGTCATGCCGAGGAGCCATCCTCAAAGATCACCAAGAAAGACAAGAAAAAAGCGGCCGCCAAATTCCGGTCTGCTGGCCCGGAAACATACTTCATGGCCCTCGACAAGTGCCTCCCAAGACGATCTTTTATCGCCGCAAAGTCTATTGAGGCCAACCCCCAGCACCCGTCTTTCAAGAACAAGAATCTTTACTATGACCCCAGGGCCATTGCGATCCAGAAGGTGGTGGAGAATTTCGTGAAAACACCCAATTGGGCGGATATCAGTGCGCAAGATCTCCTCGAGCCCGAAAAACTCGACAACTTGCTTGCGGAGCTCAACGAGATGGTTGATTTTGAGGCGGCAAAAATCCCCAATAACTCCTGTATTCCCAAGAATTTCAAGAAGGTGGCGCCGGACGTGAAGGTACAGGTGGTGCCGATGCAGTATTGGCCCAATAATCAGACCAAAGATTACTGTGAGAAATGGGGAGTGCCTGAGCCCGACTTAGAAGGCCCATAGTGGCATATAGCAGAAAGCTGGAGGTAAGAAGAATACTGTACAAAGGGGGCTTTTACCTATCTTCTACCAAGCTTAAGTCTGACTGTTATCCGATCTCTGAAAGGTTACAACGGCTAGCTAGGCATGGACAAACACAGAGGGATGTAAGGCAGATATAAATATCAAACGAGTATGAGCACAATTGCTCTGGATACTGGTTCATAGATCGACAAGCAAATCATTTAATAGAGACAGTCAAAAGAACATGCAAATAATATCTCTCCTGTGGAACAAGCACCATCACGTGACGAAGGTTCTTTTCCCCAGATCTCAGCCTGCTCATATTTCACTTCATACAAACACCTTTTCAGCCCCGATGTCTGTACATAGCTTCATCGCTCATTTCTTGAAGGAAAATGGATACAAAGAGACACTACGCACATTTGAGGCAGAGCACGGAAACATCATTCTGCCCGAGCTTCCGCACGAAGAAACCCTAGAAACAATCATTGCAGACCGCCTTAGGTATCTCAGCATAGATCAGAAAAATGGCCCTGATTATGACGAAGTTCTAAGTGATGACTTACAGGCAGTGAAAAGTACACAGCTCAAGCCGTGGCTGGCGCCATACCCGAAAACGCCGCTGGAATTGGGCCCGGTCAGCGAGCTTATAGTAGATTGCGCAATTCTAACACAGAAAACAGGGGAGTATGCACTTCTAGCAACCTCGGCTAAAAGCCTAGTAGTAGCAGACCTCCGTACGAAAAAAGTGGTGCTGAAGATCCAGGCTGTAATCGGAAACGTGGTTGTTAGACGTATAGTGGTGGCCGGAGACCTAGTTCTATTATGTGGCATGAACGGCAAGGTCACCAGTGGTAGGCTTTCGGAAAACCTATGTGGTTTTGACGCTCTATCCGAAACACAAATACATCCCCGGTTAGTGACGGATATAAAGGTGGTCACGTGGCATGGAGAGACATATGTGGTGAGCATGGGCTGGGACTTCCACGTAAAGGTGCACGTGGTGGACAAGTCAGATGGCTTCAAGTTGAAGCCTGTTGGTACGCCATACAAATTGGCCAATCAAGGAAGCTGTTTGGATGCCGTTGTATACGAAAACAAGCTCTATGTTCTAGTCTGCAAACGGGAGATCACCCTCATGGACGTTCTCTGTCTCAACGAGAAAGAAGCTTTCTACTTGGACTGCCGATTAGCGCTAAACGACGCTGAGTTTTCGGCTTCGGGGTTTTCTCCCATGTGCGTGAAAATCTTTCAAGAGAACGAGGTGGCTTGCCCCCTTGTGGCCGTGGGCACATCTCACGAACCACACATGCGGGTGATTGTGGTCCTGTTACGAGAAGTGGGCCAGAAAGATGACCTGTTTATTTTGCGAAATCAGATTCTTTGCAATTTAAACACTTATTCACCCCAGGACAAATATAGCGATGCACAAATCCAGTGGAGGTACGACGGAAGTGGGGTGTGGATCATTGGGGACGACGGGGTGATTCGAGGCCTTGATGTTTTTGATAAATCTGTCGACGTGAAGCTACATGGACACGATGGAAGAATAAAATGTGGGGCGTTCTATGGGGATAAAGTGCTTAGCTGTGGTACCGATAGGAAGGTGATCGAATGGTCGTGAGTAGTAGGAAGAAATTAGAGAATGATGAGGACTAAATTAGAGAAAAGGATATGATGTTTATAGTCTTGGTCTTGCTTCAAACATGCCATGGGAAGCATGATAAACGATGGGCGTTCTAAATACATGAAGTAGTACTGTGTTCTGGGCCGTGGAAACAGAGGGTTGCTTCCTGTAGAGCAGATCCCAACATCTGAAGAATGAGGGGAAGAATTAGAGAAATACTGAGAGAAGCATTAGAGAACTAATTAGACGATATATCAGAGGAAAAAAAAGAGGAATAATAAAAGTAATACTTTAATAAATTATCAGACGAAGAATGAGAGGAAGAATTAGAGGAAGAATTAGAGGAAGAATTAGAGGAAGAATTAGAGGAAGAATTAGAGGAAGAATTAGAGGAAGAACCCTAGAGCAAAAATGAGAGAAAGCTTCAGTTGAAGGATCAGAGAAATTATCGAATAAATTGACAGAGGAATAATTCGATGATGAACTAGACTATAAATTAGAGGAAGAATAGAGGAAGCATCAAATCATCAAATAAATTACCAGGGAATGATACGAGGAGGGGTTAGAAAATTAATTAGAGGAAGAATAAAGAATATGAACTTGTTTGACTGTCCCTTCGTCTTCTGCGAGACTCTTCCGATAAAAAACCATAGAAAGAATGATTTGAAACCTTTTTCTTTGTCGATTCATCTGATAAAAGAAATAAATTTACACAATAATAATATAAGTACAACCTTTAAACAGACCCCAGCTTTGTACCTAGTGTCGAATCGCGGCCCGTCCGCTTCTGCTAATTAAAGCCTGGCCGTTCACCTGGCATGTCTGTGTTTACGTATTGGATACTAAGTCATCAATTCCTAGCATAAGTGAAAAGTCGCTTCACTCAGATAATTGATTTTCTTTGTTTTAGTAGAGGGCTTATTTCTGGAACTATTTTTCTTAAAGAAACATCTTATTATAGGGTGTCACTGGAGCGATGTAAAACCCCACCACTAACGAAAAACTATAAAGAAAATAACCCGTATTAGATTGTAACATTGGCTCAGATAATAAGGCGCGAGCACAAATTCACGAAACCTCCCAAAGAGGATGTGACCTCAAAAAGACTTCTGCCCATAACCAAGGTCAACCACTTGAATAAAATCAACTAAATGTCATCGGCCCATAGGATATATTTTCCTGAGGGCCCGTGACCTTAGTTCATTTGACAAGGCGGCAGACGTATATCTGTCTTTGACTCCTGGTCCCTAAGCAAATAAACCATGCGAACGACTTTAATAAACCAGTCAAGGTGTCCGATTTTCTGTTTTTTTTTTCTTTTTTTTCTTTTGGTAGATTCATCTGATTAAAGGGGCAAAAATATATAACTAATATATATATAAAACCTTTAAACAGCTCCCAGCTACGTATTAAGTGTCTTAGCTCGGCCCGTCCCCTTCCGTTAGTCACGGCCTGGACGGTCCTCATGGCCCGTATCTGTTTACGTATTGGATATTACGTCATCGACTCCTTGGATAGAATTTTGGAAGGAAGTATTTGAAGGAGCTAGCTTACCTGTGTCGAAAATCCTTCTTTAGTACCTTTTTTCTTTTTTAATTCACATATACAATTCTCGCAACCCTCTTGGCCGAAAGTAACATCTGTAGAAGTCTGTCGGTTGCGGCCATACCATGCAGGAAGCACTGTTTCCCGTCCGATCAACGTTAGTTAAGCTGCATAGGGCCACACTGAGTAGTGTAGTGGGAGACCATATGCGAAATTGTGGTGCTGCAATCTTTTTGCCCCGACAAGGCCCGTATAGGGAGAAGCCGACACCATCAAGCGATCGTTTCACTTCCGTGAACACCACTCAATAATGAATACGATAAACGGTTTGATATTCTGAGGCCCGAACAAGATAATAGGAAGGGTTTGGTCTTCGCAACTTAGCACATGTAAAGTGAACCTACGACCTGACACTGTCTGATGCCACATGGATCAATCGCATGACTTTTGTTCTTTTGAGCCTCGCGGGTATATTGCGGGAAGAAACACATTCCAAAGGCCAGACACATTTGGAATGTCGCACTCCGTCACCGGCTCCATTTCGTATAGAGTACGATTGAAAGGCCTTCGCGATACATCTTCCACACATGATTAGAAGCGCTCAGCTTGTCAGGCTAAGACGGTCCAACAGTATTTTTTTACTTACTAAGAGTATGGAGCTTTTGTGTGGAAGCCCCACTGTTATTGTCAAGCTTAGTGAGACTTCACATCATGCATGGAAAACGTACCCAAAAACGTCAAAAGTTTCTAATGAATTGAACTCTTTATGAAAGTATGAAGTTCTGAATTCAGTGAGCTTCAATTCTTCTTTCTGGAGGTTTATTTATATGGGCCACAGCACGTCGCTGGTCTGAACCTCTGAGAGCTGACCAAGGAACTATACCAGAGAAAATAATACTTTTTACTTCCCCCCACTTCGGGACTCAAAAGTCTGCCACTAATCGCTCTCGAAACAAGGAATTCCAAGATCCGTTTTCTCGCTTAATTAATTTATTCAAGCCCTGGTCAGCACCAGCTCCCATGCACCAGAAATGCCAAATCAAAAGAGTAAACCAGGGTCATAAATGCCATAATACCAGTCGTCTCAAAATGTGCATGGTATGTCTTTTGTAAGCTGGATGACATCTCAAGTCTATGGCTTTGGTTATGCAACCAAATATGGCTCGACAGATTAACACCAGCCTCATTCTACGCTTTTTCGCCTTCTTTTCTAGCTTGAAACATTTGATGAAACAAAAATATGTACAATTTTTATCAGAACATCTGCCAGCTCTTTTAAGTAGATACATCTGATAGAAGAAAAGCAAGAATCATAAAGATTTTGTACCAACGCTTAACTTTTTAATAGGTACCTAGTGCCCTAATATATATTTTTTGTCATTCCCAATGGATTTTCAAGCAGATTTCGGGAGCCTCCATCATCTGACCAATCCAAAAACAACCGTCCCGGGAAAACCACAGGAAGAGCGGGGGCATTCTGTTCAACAGGCGCAGCCGCAGCGCGGTCACGTGGAGGCTCGTCACGTGACTACAATAGCCCTGCAGACAGCGATGTGGGGCACATTCTCCTCTTCTTTCCTCGGCTAATGCGCACGCGTATGCACACGGTCCATCCTCGGGCCAGACAAGCGTATATAAAAACACTTCACGTCAGGCCTCAGTTATGGTCCCGTCCCAGGTATCGCCGAAGTACTTAATTCTGCACTTGATTTGCACGTGCTGATCAGAATTCCTTTTTTGCCCATATAAGACTGGTCGCGCCTGGCTGATTGCTTGCTAATAGACGGATTCTCCATTGTCGATTGGTTCCATAGATCGAAACACACTAGGAACCAGCGGGATCCATTCAGTTCTTTTTCGCCTGCACTTCTCGGGTGCATAGCCGCTTGGTATTGTCTTGTGATTCTGTCTGTTCTTCCGGGATCGACTCGCTGGTATTTCCCCTCCTGGTACATACATTGTTCTAGTGCTTCGTGTTTCTTTGATATCACGGGCCATTACATAGAACCCGGAATCCGGTAACTTTTAGGTACGGTTTAGACTAACCGCCGCCAAACATCGGTGCATTCCCACGCTACATCGGTGCATTCCCACGCTACATCGGTGCATTCCCACGCTACATCAAAAGCTACGGATCCACCCCTCATACACTCGTATATACTCCCAGTACACCATGGCCCTTACACCCCTAGAAAAAGCCGCCAGTGGAGCCTTGGCGTCGGCCATTGCCAACACCTTGGTGTACCCGTTGGATTTGAGCAAAACAATCATCCAGACCCAGGTCAAAAAGCACGACTCAATGCTGCCTAGCAGCAGCGTGGAGGGCGACATTATGAGTGCCAGCACGGGAGACGACTCCGTTCTTGTGAGCCGCAAAAAGAACGCCTTGAAGTACAAAAACACCGTGGACGTGTTACAGAAGATCCACGCGAAAAAGGGCGTGTTGGGCTGGTACCACGGGTTGTTTTCGTCCATCTTGGGCTCTGCGGCCCAGAACTTCTCCTACTTCTACTGGTACTCGGTCGTGCGGCAGGCGTATGCGCTGCTCACCAAAACCGCCGCCACCCGCAAGCATCTGACGGTGCTCGAGTTGTTTTTGGGGGCATTGGCCGCGGCCATCTCGCAGCTATTCACCATGCCGATTGGCGTGATCACCACGCAGCAGCAGACCGACAAGGAGCACCGCTCGTTGTACCAGTTGGCCCGGGAGATCTATGTGCACGACGGCGTGCATGGCTTCTGGAAGGGCTTGAAGGTGTCGTTGGTCTTGTGCATCAATCCGTCCATCACCTACGGTTCGTACGAGCGGTTGAAGCAGATTTTCTTTGAGAACAAGGAGTTCTTGGGGCCCTTGGAGAGCTTCTCGCTCGGCATGTGTGCCAAGTCGCTAGCCACGCTCTCGACGCAGCCGTTGATCGTGTCCAAGGCAATGCTCCAGAAGAAGGTGGCGAAAAAAACGGCTGCAAAAGACAGCGGAAGTGTGGAGACAGAGACTCCTGATCACGATGACGACATCCACTTCAATAGTTTTGTGGAGGCCTTGGCCCACTTGTGGCAGACAGAGAAAATCCGGGGGTTGTACAAGGGCGTGGCGCCGCAGTTGTTGAAGGGAGTCATAGTGCAGGGCATGTTGTTCATGTTCAAGGACCAGTTGGACTTGCTCTTCCTTGCCTTTTTGAGGATGCTCAAGGCAAGAAAGAAATTGCGCATTGTCTGAGTGCTGTGGGGCTTGTACTGAGCCATTGTCTTTGGGAAGCCTTGGATAGGGAGATAGATAAGAAAAACTATACGCCGCAAAGATGAGCAAACTCGTCTAAATGCTGCACCTCCATCTTTAATTGTATAATGCATCATGTGCTCTTCTACGCTCAGGTTATTGACTGGTCAAGAGTAAGATTGAGAACCCACGTTCATGCTTGCAGACTGTAAAGGCAAGTCATATATTATGCATCTCGAAGACATGAACGTTGTGGATAACAAAATTAACCCTTATAGATAAAGAGACAGTGTATACGTACTGCCTGAAAAGAAGGGTATTTAGATTCTCAAAATGTATGTTCTAGTAATATAGACCAGAACTCTCCACACCAGCGAAACTTTATTGGGGTTCCCGGACTTCTTTTTTATTATTTGTAATCGAAAAGTCCCCTGAAAGGCATTGTGAATGTGCCAATGAGGGGTTTAAGAGCACATGATTTCAAAGCAAAGGGTTTGTAATACTGTAGATTGTTTTATTCACGCACCTGCGTCGCTTTTACACGCTCGGTGTTTGACCTAGACTGATGCATATGGTATGCTTCAATAGATATACCAGACATGGTTGGCATGCCTTTTGAACACAGAGACTACGTTGAGAAGGTATTTCTCCATCAAACCTTTCACAAAATCCCTTTTCAGCTAGTTAAATAACAATTCTCTAATTACCCATTTTATTACTACTAAAAATCAGAACACCTCGCAACTCCTCATACTGTTTCTACAATACTGAATTTACAATTGAATAGTACTACTGATATTAATAAATGTTTACATTTTATATACTCCAAATCAATTCCTAGCATATATGGAGAAGCTCCTCCACACGAAGTGTCACTATGCGCTGTATCGCAGTTTTGAAAGAAATATTTGTGAGGAGAATGATAAACTTGGGGCACATTTCATTGACGAAGCGAAGAGACACGGTGGTGAAGAGAAATTCCAAAACGGTAGGGGACTTTTGAGCTGGATTTTTCTCTACCCTTAGAGCTTTGCAACTCAGATGCTTAAAAGATGACCGGCCACGGGGAATGAGCCTACACCCATCGTCATGTGTGAAATACTTAGTGTCCATGTTCCAAAGATCGAAGGATTTTGGGGCGGTGTGTCGGGGAGATCAATTTGCTTATACGTATTGAATGACTTTAATTTAGAGATAGTCTTTGTGTTTTTTGAAAGTAAAGGCTTTATCAATTAATTCCAATCTGGTACTGGCGTAACGTGTGGACGCCAAACTTCGATGCCAAACTTAGATAAAGGCTGTATTTGCAACTTTCCGACGGTAATTCATTCTATAGTGTATTTATGATAGTCGATCGAGTTTATCGTGCATATGTTCATGATCAAATTTTTTGCGCTTCTCGAGACCACGAAAGTTATGTATACCATAGGTATTGAAAGTACAACCAATTGGTCGAAAAGTCGAAACATTTTTTTCCGGACAGTACATGCAAGGTTAGCAAAGGTACTTATTGTGGTTGCAATAGAAAAGAGAGGCGGAAGCACGTATCATATATTTGTCTATTAGCCATCTCTCAGGTAGCCATCTCTCCAGTAGCCAAATAATTGAATATATACTCTGAAATCGGAGATAAAAAAGGGTTATTTATACTTTAGGAGTAACTAATACAGGTAATTCACTACATGTATGATATTCTGCAGGTTTAGCTAAAATTAAACCGATATCTGAATCTCTAACATCTCTCATTTTATTATCTAAAACATCAGGAGTAACTTGTATTTCAGAATCTTCATTTAAACCATTCTCAAAAGATTAACGGATTGTTAAATTATTATTTATTTGCATCTAATTTTAGCAGACTAGGAAGAATTATATGATATCTACAAAGCTCTTGTGCTTATACTTTAGCTTCTAAATATAAAGCATCCTCACCTAAAATGTATAAAAGATTTGGAAAAAAAATAACCTGTCCTGAAACTGGGCATGGACTTAATTTACCAAGTACTCTTAAAGCCAAACATGATTTTAATCATAATCAAAATCATTCTATTGATCCTATTGGCCATCTCTCCATTAGCCATTTCTCTATTGGCCATATCCACATCTACATCTATACATATTTATATTATCTATATATGTCCAGTACCAATTTTCCGGCGGTCTCTGGAAGAGGTGAACCATTATGTGTCAATTAGAGATTCGGCCAGAAACACAGACCTAGGGCAACGAACCATCACGCGGAAAGCGAGACCTCTTAACTCTAGATCATAGATACATATGCAAAGCCAGAGCCAAAAGAAAAATAAAAAAGCTTCAAATGTCTTTTGATAGCCGAAAAATCACATACATCCTCGTCATACCCAATTTCTCTACTCTCGTATTTCTCTATTCTCGTAAAGAGAGAGAGAAAGCATATTTATGCCGCACTGAAGTAACTATAACAGTGAACCCAGCAGCCCGTCCAAGAGGCACGAAGTGCACCAGGAAATTAACACCAAGATCCATAAGCAACAGCACCGCACAATTTGGCAAGACTGGAAGTATCGTGTCAATTGGCCTATGGCGTCGAAGCCAGCCAGCGGAGGTGGGTCACGTGACGCGCCGGACTCAACCACCCACGCTTCCAAACAGCCGCCACAACCAACCCATAAACGCAACACAACACAACCAACCCATAAGCGCGACACCGGGAAACAATAAACACAAATCAACACCATCAGCCAACCAGCGCCCGCCAGGGCGAGGCGGCGGCAAGACGTCACGTGACTTTTCTACAGGTCTGCAGGGCTCGAGCCCTAGGCACGTGCGCGCCGGCGCGTCCTCCTGCAGTGCCCAGCAGCGGCCCGCGCACGTGACCCCGCTACGCGGCAGCGAGCGGACGCAGAAAAAAAAGTCTTCTTCCCGAAATCTACCCTCTAATCTCATCTTCATCAGCAACCATGGGTAACGGTAAACCAAGAGGTCTTAACTCCGCCAGAAAATTGAGAGTCCACAGACGTAACAACAGATGGGCCGACCAAGCTTACAAGGCTAGATTGTTGGGAACGGCTTTCAAGTCTTCTCCATTCGGAGGCTCCTCGCACGCCAAGGGTATTGTGTTGGAGAAAATCGGTGTTGAGTCCAAGCAGCCAAACTCCGCTATCAGAAAGTGTGTGCGTGTTCAGTTGATCAAGAACGGTAAGAAGGTCACCGCCTTCGTGCCAAATGACGGTTGTTTGAACTTTGTCGACGAGAACGACGAGGTCTTGTTGGCCGGTTTCGGTAGAAGAGGTAAGGCCAAGGGTGACATTCCAGGTGTCAGATTCAAGGTTGTCAAGGTCTCTGGTGTTTCCTTGTTGGCTTTGTGGAAGGAGAAGAAGGAGAAGCCAAGATCGTAAGTTTTCCCTGTTTCCCTCTGCATATGCGCCCGGTTATTCACATACCTATATAATAGTACGATACATTGATTAGCAGACGTGTAGGCCCGAACGGGCGAGAGCCATGCTTTTGTTCTTTGTGGTCAGCCTTGGATGAGGTGCGTAGACTGCTGATACGCAACTGCTACTGGTGATAGTAGCTGATGGGCTTTGGCATTGAGGGCATACTTGTGGCTCGCTCTTTTTGTTGGATGCTGACAATGTAAACTTGGCATTGAACAAAAGGCCGCCGCAAACAGTTCGAGCACCGGAAGCCAAATCCATGGCTTTTGGCGATTCGAACTGTTGCGCTACAACATCCATAGCTCCAGTAATTGTGATTGGCCCATGTTGTCTCGAATACACCATGGGCTTGGAACGAACGCTCGGGCAATTCGAACCGGAAACAGATAAATACCTGGGTGGAAGCTACGGTGATGGAGCGAATGTCTGTGTGGAACTGTGCCCTCATTCCAGCCGTGGATCGTGCCGGTTGTTCACTGCGGAATCAGCCCGGAACGCTGGTATGGTGTGCAGCAATTTTCGGGGGTCCCCCGAGCACTGCCAACTACGGGCCGCCAAGCATTGGGCGTGGAAACCGACGGAATACGATTTCATTACAATTTGAGTCATTGGCTTACGCACGGGCGCGAGATCAAGTGACACCACTCGCGCGGGCGCAGCCGTTAAATCTTGGGACGGGTCCTTGGCCCCAGCACCGTCTGCCCCGCCTCTTTCTTTTGATTCTCGTTGGCTGTAGATGTCTGTCCAGCCTCTTTGTTTGAGATCTCTCTGGCCCCAGAACACTGTATCGAAGCTTTTGTTTCGGTTCTCTGGCTCCACAACAGTCTGTCCATCCTCTTTGTTTCGGTTCTCCAGCTGCACAACAGTCTGTCCATCCTCTTTGCTTCACTTCTCCAGCTGCACAACAGTCTGTCCAGCCTCTTTGCTTCACTTCTCCAGCTGCAAAACAACCTCTCCATCCTCTTTGCTCCACTTCGCTGGCTCCACACCACTCTCTCCAAGCACCAGCGCCGCGCCCGGAGCAATCACATGGAAAGGTTCTTGCCCTCGATGGAAGGCCCCGACTTCTTCACCACCTTCTTCTTGGAGTTGGTCATCTTGCGGTTGATCCGCGTGAACATCTCGCCCGAGCCGCGCTGCAGGCGCATCAACAAGCTGGGGTCCACCCTGGGCGCAATCTTGTACGCCGTGGTCCGCGCGCTCGGAATGGCCGCGCGGTTGCGGCGCTCGGCCTGCTGCTCGTAGAGCGACTTGGGCTCGGCCGGCTTGGCCCGCTGCAGCGCCAACTTGTTGGAGAAGCGCGCCTTGTTGTAGTCGTTGAAGCGGATGGTGCGGTCCTTGTACGAGTCCAGCTTGTTCAAGATGGGCCTCGTCCACTCGCCGATCAAGCGGTCCACGATCTTCTTCAAGTTGGGCTCCGTGCGGCTGCTCCGCTGGTAGAACACGAGCACCTTGCCGATGCCGCTGGCCACAAGGTGGTCCGTCTTGATGGGCAAGCTCGCAAGCAGCAGGAGCAAGTCCTTCTGGATCTGGTACGCGGGCATGGACGCGTCCGGCAACGGCTCGAGCCACAAGCGCACGGCCTCAAGGAGGTTGTTGTCCAAGATCAGAATCGCGAGGTCTGCCTTGGCCAAGGTGTCCATGACCTCGCGCAACAACTTGAGCTTCTCCGTGGCGATCTGGCCCTGCAGGTTCTTGTCCACGTCCATGTTGGCGGCCTCGATCATCTTGTTCTTGAGGTAGTCGATCCGGTCGTCCTGCATCCGCTCCAAGTCGTCCTCGTCCGCCCGCCGCCGCTTGGCCGTGCGCGCCTTGACGGCCAGGTCCATTTTCTCCTCCAAGAGCCGCCGCCTGCGCGCCGCGGGGTCCTCGTTGGAGAAGCCCATGCCGCCGTCCTCGTCCGCGCCCAGGTCCATGGGCGTCTGCGCCTCCGTGCGGGCCGCGGGCTCGTCCGCGCCGCGCCGCCGGATGTTCTTTTTGCGCGTCTGCTCGGCCGCGGCCGCCGCGGCCTTTTGTGGCTTCATGCTGAAGAGATTGGTTTCGTCGTAGTCGCCGGTTATGTGCGCGGCGGGCTCGCCGCTTTCGGCCCGATGCGGGACCACGTCGTCATCCGCTGGCCCGGCGCTTTCCGGGGCGATATCCCCGGGGCCCTCGTCCTCGATATTGGCCTCGCCAATCGTCGGCGGGAGCTGTTCATCCTCGGCCTCTTGCTGGGCGTGTTGTTGCGCGGCCTGCTGGGCGAGCTCGGCGGCTAGCGGCACGACATCCGAGGGCGCCGCCGCCTGTTCCGAGGGGTGCTCTGTGGGGGGGTCCATGTCCAGGGGGTGTTTTTTTTTGGGTGGAGAAAGAAGAGAAGTGCAGTGAGAAGGAGGAGATATGGGGGCCGGTGATGCTGGAACGCTGGGCGGTCGCGTGTCGCGATGTCGCGCGACATTGGCCGGGGCCGGGCTGTGTCCTGGGATAGGGCCGTGCTTGCCTGTCCAGATGAGATTAGGGGTGCAAAGCCTATGGAGGGTGCTGGGGGCTGCTGGGCCTGGGGGGAAGGCGCGTGTTTTTGGGTTTAGGCGAACGTGGGTTTTTTTGCGTGCTGTTGTTTGGTGCTGGCCGTAGTAATTAGCTGTGCGGAATGTAATTTATAGTATTTATGCCGGCCGCGAGCGGGCCCAGGTAACAAACGCAGATGTCATGGGTAGGTCAAATGGATAATTTATGTTTGACGTTTCAGAAAAAGTACGAGGGTTGGTGGGAAAGATGCTTATGGTTGTTGGTATGGAAATTTATGTTTGACGTTTAAGACAAGACTACGAGAATCTGGTGGCGAGGATGCATATGGTAGGTCAAATGGATAATTTATGTTTGACGTTTCAGAAAAAGTACGAGGGTTGGTGGGAAAGATGCTTATGGTAGGTGGAATGGAAATCTATGTTTGACGGGGAAAATTGATTGTTTAATCAACCAGTTCATGGAGCACCAGACAGATTCACTAATTGCGCTGAGAAAACCGGAAGAGTCCGTGGAGTGCCTAAACTCAACGCCACTAATCCAGGCTTCATTCACTGCCGTGGAATACGCACAGATAATGTTCTATTGCAGGTTTACACACTTGGGGTTTTTTGGTACAAACTGGAAATGTCGCTTGGTGGAAAAAGACGGGCAGCTTGTAGAAGAATCTGTAGCATACTAAACACGCAGCTGTAACGGTGGAGACTGGGTCGTCACTCATCCTCCATATTCCATGAAATAAAAAGACCAAAGTGGAATACATCCCCTTGAGCAAACACGGACGTCTTTTTTGAGTACTAGCGGTATTGAACAGTGTTTGGCCTAAACGAGATCGCTTCAATGGGCAGACCCCAACAATGCTGCATACTGCAGCACCCTATTATATAAGAAATGACTGCGTCATAATAAAAGATGGCTGAAGTAGACAGTGACGAGATGAAACGTAGTCATAAAAATAGCTGCAGCGAGTAGTGGTCCATTTTTGCGACGGAGCTGAATTAGGCAACATTCTGTCAAAAGAACAACAGCTGTAATGACCAATGCTCCATTGCATGAGCTTGCTGTCATAAGCAGGCTTATATTCCGAGCTTGCTGTACTGAAAATTCCCAAATTAAACGCAATAGGTGTTATGAGTCTTTATTAATGATATTCAACCAAACAAACTCTCTTATCTTCTATAAATGGCGATTTCCCAATGGTAATTGATAGTGTACCTGGGCACTCCAATGGCATCATTACATGAAACAAGATACATCAAACGAGTTGCATTTTGTCATAACAAATCTGTTGCAAAACCAAAGTTACAGCGAGCAGCGCCCCATCAAAATAAATTCCCTTTTTTAGAGGTGATTCACATTTTCATTCTGCATTACAGCTGAACTCGCCCGCTGCCCGGCATAAAAAAAAAAGAGGATCCTTCCCCAAAGAAATAGCTTTTCCCAAACATTTACGTGCAGAGTATTTTGTGAAAGACCATGGGATTCACCTATGGCTTTCATTTTCGGCCCCTCAAAACAAATCAGTAGTATTAGCTGGTGTCTCGGGTAACCAAAATCACCAGAGTAACACGCCTGCTGAGTACACAGTCTACTTTGGGGCCGAGATTCCATTTGCGTGAAATTGCCAGATCTCATTTTGCAAGAAACCTTGGAAATCGATGGTAAAATTTCCCGGCCACATCGGTGTGTCACATTAAAGATATCCAGCAGGTGGTAATTGAACCAGCTACATGTCGCGGCACATATAATTTGTATTTGTAGATGTTTTTGGTGATACTAGTATACCCGGAAAAGGACTAAGCCTGCTTTCGGGAATAAGCAGAGACGGGTGCAAAATTTATCATTATTGCCATGGAGCACACTGTGATGTGTCCAATGAAGCCTCCATGAAAGAGTGTTTCCATGCATCAAAAGAAATAATGTGTGTTGATCCAAGGGTATATCAGAAGACATCCGGTGGGATTATTATGGATGAAAAGATACCCCAGACGCAAGTATGGTGAAGAAAACACGAAGAGTACAGCCGAAGTTCAAAAAACAGCGTGAAAGAGCCACGGGTCATTCAGATTTCAAACCAAAATGATAGTCATGTTTGTTTAGTCACCGAGTAAGAGCGACTTGCGCAGACTGGCCGATGAAAGTGGTCAAATGTGACTGGGTCTGCAAAACTGAAACGTTAAAAGCCAAGAAGCCTGTATAAGCTTGGGACGAGGTGTTGCCACCAACATCAAGCAGATTGGACTGTTATCGGTATACATACTAGGATATCCTGAAATCACAGAGGTCCTACTAGTGGGGACCTTTTGACGTGGCGGTGGGCAGGAACAAATGTGAGCACTTGGATTTTCCCACTGTCATAGCTGGGAAGTATTCAAGTCATTGCCAATATACCCTAGATCTCAGTATATCCAGATGGTATCGCACTTTTATTTCATCATACTTGGTTCTATTAAACAAATGTTGCAGCGCACTTGGATCATCCCACGTCCTTTGAATCCAGTCTCGATATTGCCAAACCTGAATCTTGCCTTACCTTCTTTTTGGGTTTCTTGTTCTCACTGCCTCCATGTATCACCTCTATCTACCACACCTGTGTTATACTAGACCTAGGTTTCATCTTTTGCAACCGGCATATATCTGCATTAAGTAGAGTCCGCTAACATTGAGCTTCATCAGGCCCGAGTTTTATCAGACACAGATCCAGCCTATTCTGACTGTTTTCCCACACCCGATTCACCATGTTCTATCATACATAAATTTCATGAAATACGCATGACACAGTCGGCCAAGAATATACCATCACCAGATTCCATCTAATACACGTATTATGCAGCCCAAACGTATAATTTCAAGACTTCACACCCGTGTCACATACCATTTGGATTCTACTATGTTCATTTCACGGGGGGGGGG